TTATGGAGAACCACCAGTTTTTTTTTAAGCAAAGAAGTGACATTTCTAAATATATATATATATATACACACACACACACACATATATATATATTCTTTATTTAAAAACATATAATTTGCACTTAACATTCTTTTTTTCCCCTAGGAACAGTGATTTTTATTTATTTATTTTAATTAGCTATATGACAAAAGAATGCATTTTGATTCATTATACACAATTGCAGCACAACTTTTCACTCATTTGGTTGTATACAATGTAGCATTGCTCTGTATACAATGGTGCAGCCATACAAATACCTAAGGGTAAGAATGTCCCTCTCATTCCACTATATTTCTGGCCCCCTAAATTTATATTTTAGAAATATAATTTTAGGCACTAGAGCTGTTGCTCAGTGGTACAGTATGTGTTTAGCATACTCAATGTCCTGGTTCAATCCCCAGCAGTTGCCAATAATATCCTTGTAGAGAGGGGACAAGACTGGAAGTCAAGACATTTCTTAGAAGAACATTTTGTAGTTGAGGCAGCTCAACAGTGTTGAAGGGTCCAGAATGGAGAGTTCTGTATCTGGCTCTCCGTCCTATGGAGACAGAAGAGACATCTGAAGCATGGTGCTATTTGGAGGAACTCACTGCTGGTACTTGTTGCCCAATTCCAGGAGACACCTAATGTGAATAGTACCTCCAAGTGTGAATAGTATCCCCTAGAATTGTGTAAAGTGGTGGTCTTGGACCATGGGGTGTTCACTGCAGTTCTGGGTATTTGACATTGCTATTTGTAATTCTTATTGCCACCCCATGAACAAAGATTATGTTCCCTTTACGGTTGAGGAAGCCCAGCTCAGAGATGCTGTGTGCGATGACAGATAAGTGACAGATTGGGAATCTGAATGCATGTCTGTCCAATTATATTTTCATGTAGTTTCTTTCTGCACTGTACATACTACTTTATATACATGACACACGACATCGAACGTAAGTTCTGGACTTTGTACCAAATGGATATTCAGCATATTTCTGGAAAGGTTTGCAGAAACACATGGAAACCCAAAGACAAACACACACAATGCCTGGAGAATCCCTTCTCTGCCTATGTTGGTCACATCTCTTGAGTTATTATCTTTAGACCTCTGGAGCCTGTGGACATTTTGTTAAGAGATGCCTTTTGGCTTCTGTAGGACAAAACAAGCCACTGTCATGTTGTCACCATGTCCCAGCACTGTGTTGCTGCTTTATGTATGTGTTCTCATTTCATCTTCATAGCAACCTTTCTTATAAACCAGGAAGCTTTCTGCTGCAAATAATGAAAAACCTACTCCAAAGAGAGTTAAATGATGAGAAAATTCATTGATTCATCCAACAGGAAGATGGAAGGCAGTCTGGTCTCCAGGTCAGCATCTATTTTACCTCCACTGTATCCTGAGGTGCCCAGGGAGCTGTTCTTTTCCTGAGATCTTCAGAATGAGTCGCCGTGTGGTGCCAGCACAGGGAGCCCAAGCAGCCCGGCATTTTGGAAGAGATACCTAAAAGCAGCTGCCCTGTGAGCTAGAGATTTAAATGAACCCTAGGTTCCCTCTCAAATTCAGTTGTTAGGTCCTGTGTCCCAGCAGTTTAACTATTCTCTGTTTTCAACTACATGAATGCTCAGTAGAAACAGTCCAGAATTTCGATACCATATCTTGCAGAAAGCATAAGTGGGCTTTTGGGAACAGATCCCACTCATTCATTCTCAGCCAATCTTAGGGTGCTTCTACTCTGTATTATGAATGTCCTATGCTCTGTCAGTTGCTGGTGACACAGAAATGAAGCAAATTCAATTCTTGTTCTCTGAGAGCTCTCTAGGAAGACAAATGCATATACTACTGACTTTGACTTTGGTGTGGAGAGTATGTATGGTCATAGGAGGGGTGAGCAAAACCCTGGGGGAGGGGTGAGCAGAACCCTGTGGGAACCCCACCTCTGTTAGGCCATACACATGTTAGTCTAGTTAGTTTGTTCATTTCTGTTAAAAGTTTCATTCCTGACTAGAAATTCTGCCTGCCACCTATTAGTTCTATTGCCTTGGCCATTAGAACATTTTTTTAAAAAAAAATTCAGTGCTGAGGATGGCACCCAGGACTTCACACATGCTAAGCAAGCACTTTACCACTGAGCTACATACCCAGGCCCCATTAGCATGATTTTCAAATGCTCAACAATTTTGTTTTTCATTGAGACTTGGAAACAGCTTGTCGTGAGCCAGCCATGGGCTGTGTGTGTGAGCTGTGAGCATTTGAGCGCATTCCGGGACTGGACTGACATTGCTTCCCTGACTGGGCCATGCCACATGTTTGTGTCCTTTGTGCTTGCTCTGCCTTTGATCCCACACAGCACCTGAGATGGGTGTGGACTTTCAAGATGTCAGTCAATTTGCTGACCAGACTCAACCCCCTGAAACCTGACCCTTTGCCTTATTTGGAAAGAACATCCCATCGAACCTCCCCTTGTGTGCCTCCCTATAAAAATAAAGAGTCCAGGTGCAAGCTCTCTTTTTCCAATGGACCCCTAAGGTGGAGAGCCATCAGGGATTTTGAAAAGGTATTTCTGTGTGCTTGCATGCTTTCTTCGCTGTTTGCTCAGTTATTGATGTAGCCAGATTTTGTGAACCCAGCATAGGTCGCCAGTCCGGCTAGCTGGCGATAAATTTCTAGGACAGGGCGTTTTTGATTTGCTGAAGTGGGACCCCAACGCAATTAAGGCAATATTAACACCCCTGGTCTTGTCTGGTTTGTTTGTATTCATTGATAAAACTTTTATTATGTAAGAGCTCTCCTGTAGTTCCTGGTTGGAGGAGGACGGACAGGATGGTTTGGCCTTTTCCCCTCAATGGCCATTTGTTTAGATGACAAAGGGGCAGGAGTGGATGAGATTATTCAGGAGAGGATTTATAATACATCGGGCACAAGAGACTTGGGTTAGGGTTTGAGTGACAAAAGTGTAACGATTTGGCAGTTCGGGAGAAGGAATTCTTCAGCTCTGAATGGAACCTAGCTCTGCTTTGGCACCAGCAAATTAGAGTTTGGGAACAGTGATACAGAACACTGCAATCTAGGATGGGCACTGAACTCAGTGAGCTCCACTGGGCAGCAGGGCAACACAAACGGTTGGTGGTGATTCCTGTCTCTGATCCCATATGAGGCATTTCCTGTGGGATCCCTTAGAAGTGACTCAGGAATTTTTGGGAGGGAGGTTGAAACCTTCTTATATAAATAGGATCTTTAGTGAAAATGGGGACTGAAAGCTAATGTGACCATAATTTATGATCATGATCTCAGAAGTTAAGCAGCAAAGCAAAATGCAGGAGCAACTGAAGGAAGCATTCATTGAGTCAAACTCCAAAGGCCACCAGAAAAACTGTGACCTGAAAGTGATAAATGAGATACTAAGGAATATTTTTTTTTTTACTTCATTTACCAAATCCCTTTGTCTCCAAGACTTAGTAAGCAAGTTTATTCGTCTGAAAACTGTTTACTTTAGAAGAGAGACAAAACTTATGTTAAAGTTAATATAAAGATGTGTTGAAAACAGGAAAGGAATAACTTGCAGGATTTGAGCATTCACATATTGATTGTTCAGTAAAGGGTTTCCCATTGCTAAACTCTAAAGATAAAAGCACTATTTTTAGTGTATTTTTGTAGATAGAAGGTTTGGATTCCAGCGCTTTTCCAACAGAGCAGAAGCACCCTGCACTGCCCAGAGCTTCCTCTTGTCCACAATATCCCTGAGGCAAGAGCTTCTATTATTATCATTCCCACATGACAGAAGAGACTTTGAGGTTGGAGTATTAATACCCCGACACCCAAAAAGAAACAGTGGCAGTTTTAGACTCTGATGGAGGTCACTTTGAAGTTTGGATTGCTCCCATACTGATGAGACAGGAACCACCAAAGGGACAAAGGATAAATGCATTTCCAGACCTTGTCTCATGGCCACACAGCAGCCCGCAGGAGGCTTGATGTGTGCCATCTTCAACCAGTGTCAGTTTTGCTTCTAAGGTCAGTGTGCCTTGTACATGTTCTCCTGAATAGCTGCAGTAATTTGTTTTTAGCACAGGGCAAAATGCTTGAGTTGAGTATACCTATGGCCAATTAACATGCCCACCCCTGCAAACAACCAATAAAAGGAGCTCCCTTTTGTTCAGGGAGCCAGTCTTACATCTCCTTTTAGGGGCTGTCTCCCTTCCTAAATGGAAACCCCAATAAGAGGCTTGATGGTATATTGGCTTGATGGGCTCGGTTTCATTTCCATTCTCATGGAGTCAAAAGATTCTAGTGTTTGGTAGCATGGACACCAGCACACGTGGTTGTCAACAGCGATTGCACATTACAGTGCTTTGAGGAGCTTTAAAAACTGCCACAGTATTCCTTGGTCAGACCAACTAGCATGGAAGATAAGTGTTACAGATGCGGGAGCCAGAGTTTGAATGCCGCCTGTGACCTTAGCCAGGTGCTTGACTGTCCCCTCGTTTTCCTATTTGTAAAATGAGGATAACATCCTCTTTTTTAGGGTTATTTTAAGGATAAAATGAGTTAATAGCAGTGAGGCACTTAGAACAGGGTCTGCCACACGATAATCGCTATATAAGATCTCGTCGAATACACTAGAGTGAAAACGGCGTTTATTAAAACAGTAAAGCAGTCTGGGCAGCGGTCTTGTGCAAGTACTCCCCGCAGGTTTTCTGTCTCTGTACATAACAGCTCCTTTTCTGGGACCCTGCCTCCGCAGTTGACATCAACTGAAGAGGGAAGAGAGCTTCTTATTTTTTTTTTCCTGGGATTTGGGAAACTCATTCTCTGGATCTGCGGGGACCCACGCGCGCGGGGCGGAGCGCTCGCGGGGTGCCCTGGGACTCGTAGTTTCCCAGGAGCGCGCCAATGGCCCAGCCGGAACTACAACTCCCATAAGGCCGCGCGGCGCCACCCCAGTCCCCTCCCGCGCTGCCCGCCTACTCTCGGCTCAGCCTCTCGGCCGGGGGGCACAGAGGCGAGATGGCCGACCGCGGCTGCCCTCCTGAGGCGACCGGCTCGCGGGGCTCCCCGCGTCCGGACCACCGGGCCCCACGCGCGGCCGGGCCGAGCGGCGGCGGAGTTGGCGAGACCCCGCGCACCGCGGCGCTGGCGCTGCGCTTCGACAAGCCCATCAAGCAGGCCTTCTACAACACCGGGGCCGTGTTGTTCGTCTGCCTGTGCTGCGGCGCCGCCGTCTTGGTCTACTTCATCCTCGAGGCCTTCCTGCGGCCGCTGCTGTGGGCCGTGCTGTGCGGCACCTTCCTGCACCCCTTCAAGAGCTCGCTGACGCGCCTGGGCCGCCACTGGCTGCAGCGGCTGCACCGCGCGCACACCCCCATCGTGCTGGCCGCGCTGCTGCTGCCGCTCTGCTTCGCCGACTACGGCGTGGAGGCCCTGGGCGAGCAGGCGCTGCGCCGCCGCCGCCTGCTGCTGCTGCTGGGCGCGGGCGGCCCGCTGCTCTATGGCCTCTACTGCCTTGGCAACTACCTGGGCGTGCAGGTGCTGCTGGCCCACGCGGGCGCGCTCATCTGCCAGGGGCTGGACTACTTCAGCAGCCTGTGGGTGAGTGAGCGAGTGGCGGGCCGGGCCCCCTAGGCGGCTTGCCCCTCCGCGCACCCTGGTGTGTTGGGTCGCTACCGTGCAGTTCCGACTCGTTGCGAAAGGGCGACCAAAGGTCCTCACCTGTGCTGCAGTGAGGGTCGGCGCCTCCTGCCTACCTACACCTGGAAACTTGGCTTACTATCTTCCAATTTGAGGCGGGTGCGATTTGCAACATCCCAGGGCAACAAGTGCCCTGTCTGAGAAGGCCTGTAGCACTTTGTGGGCAGAGGCCCCAGAGAGGGAGTGATTAGTTTTACTCCGGGTTGGAGAGGGAGGGCTGCCTTGGCCACTCTTAGTTATGTAGATCTGGGTGCCAGATCTGGAAGGGATCCTAGAGTTCAGTTTGTTATCCTACGGATAGGAGAGGTGACTTACTACCAGGCCAGGACGAGTTAAGGACAAAGAAAGGACTGACTAATTCAGCTTTCTCAAGTCCTAAACAAAGCTTTCTTCACAGTCAGGTGTTGCCTCTTAATTCAGGTCTTTAATAGAGAGTGCGTGCGAGGCCCTGGGTGCTGAGCGCCCACACTCTACTTCTGGGGAACTACTTTTGTTGTGCGGTGATCAAGGCACACATCCCTTCTTGCCTGGATTATAGCGTCCTGCTGGATGAAGGAGGTAGATTTGTGATGCTCGGATCATCACGAGTTTACTCTTACAAAACCAGGGAGCCTTAGTTCAGAGATAACCTTTTAACACACTTTCCAGCTCGTTCTTTTGTGGGCCGGTTTATCCACATACCTAACTGGGAACTATTGAAAACAAGTGGATAGTTGATGCTTAAGAATGTTAAGAATGTTGATCAGTACTACAGGGGCTGGGGGTATAGCTCAGTGGTAAAGTGTGCTTATATGTTGGAGGCTCCTGGGTTTTGTCCCCAGCCCCTCAAGGAACAACAAAAGCGCCCCCCACCAACCCATTTAAATAATTTGGTTCACTTTTGTCGAAATAAAGTTCAGTGTAACTTAACCTAATTAAGTTGTGAAATAATTCCTCTTATCTGGTTTTGAATTGCCTGAGGTAATTGGTAGGGTGGTTAATCCCAGAACTCCTGTCTTCTCATGCTTATGGATATCATCTCTCAGTTCCACTTTTCAGTTCAGATTTTAAAGTTGGTCAAACATGATGTTAGGACCTTTGTGAGGGATTTAAAAAAATGCTAAGATGCAAGCTGTGTCTTCAAGGTGCATATATAGTCTTATGAGATTTCTCTTTTTTTTGTTGTGGATTGAACCCAGGGCTTCATGCATATTAAATGTGTGTTCTACTTTGGTCCCCCATATGTGAGCCTATTCTAATGGAGACATTTATCTGCATATGAGACATTTATCTGATATGCAGATAAATGTTCATTACCCACCAGTTATGGGCCACAGACTCAGAAGTCACAATTTTTTTTTTTTTTTAATAATGCTGGGAAGTGAGCCCAGGGCCTTGAGCATGCTTCTGCTCTACCACTGAGCTACACCACCCACTCTGTGGTTCATTTTTACGGAGCACAGTTCAGTGCTCTTACCTTGTATCATGGTTTACTTAAGTGGATTGAATGCCACATAGAAGGCAGACTACTGTGTGCCCATAAGAAGAACGACTTGGGGGTTGGGGATGTGGCTCAAGCGGTAGCGCGCTCGCCTGGCATGCGTGCGGCCCCGGTTCGATCCTCAGCACCACATACAAAGATGTTGTGTCCGCCGAAAACTAGAAAATAAATATTACAAAAAAAAAAAAGAACGACATGCTTGTTATCCTCAAGAAATTAATATTGTCAAAATCAGACACATTTACAGATTCTGCTAACATTTCTGACTGTTGATACTGCCCGAGTAGCATAGTCAAACTGTAGGAAATTAGGAACAGAAAGATCTGTCATGTATGACTAGTAAGTATTTTCATCTGGAGCAAAATGAGTTTGTCGGTTAGGTGAACAGTTAGGGGAAAGAGAGGCAACTCTGCCAGTCCCTCCTCAGACGCTCAATTCAGTGGAAAGAGTTGAGGAAGTGGGTACCTGGGAAGAAGTATCTGCAGTTCAGTGTATGTAGCTTTGAATATCTTTATACTGAAAATAAACCCTCATGTTTCCTTTTTCTTGTGTGGGTTGTAGATGGTGAGTGGCAAGGAAGGGCCAGATGCATTACTGGGGGTTGGAGGGAAAACACTCAAACTTATTATTTTATTTTATTTTTTTGGTGGTGGTGGTTGTGGTGGCAATGAAGATTGAACCAGGGCCTTTGTATGTTAAGCATGTGCTCAGCCACTGAGCTACTTAAGTCAGCTATTGGTCCACAGTGATGGGAGCAAAGGAGAAGGGGCTTAAAAACCAGCAAACCTATAAGTGAGTAGGGAGTGGTAAAAGCTCTACATTTGAGAATAGGGACTCTGCATTACCTGAATTTGAGAGAAGCAGGCTTAGAGTTTTGCTGAAGTAGTGCTTAGGGCTGGGTAGTTGAGTTGGGGTAAAGTTTACTTGGAAAACAGAGTCCTTAGCCCTCTGTGGAAAGTGCTGATTAAGGCCTGACCTGCAGCAAGATGGCTGTGTGACCGCCAGGGGCCCTCTCTGTAATTCTTCTCATTGTCCACAGCAGTTTTGTTTTTTGAGCCTAAGCAGGGCTGCCTGGTACAGAACAGCAGTCTTTATGCTTTCTAGACATCTTGTAAATGTGAGCCTGTTGCCGAAAAGAGGGATAGGTAAGAGAGGTAGAGAGAAAAATTACATTTGGGTAATCCACATTTTGGTGAACTGACATTTCATACATTTAAGATCCAAGGTTTGAACATTTACCATGTGCCAGGCACTGGATTAGGTTTTTTCATGGATGTAATTTTGTTCTCAGTCCTGTGAAATGGGAGGAAGGAATTTCATATCTGAGAAAACTAATTTAGAGGTTGATCTGTGCATGCTGTCAGTTAAAGGCCTTCATTGGACCTACCAGCAAGTGAAATCTTGCTGTCACCAAAACTCTAGTAACCTTCAGTAAGGATTTTAAAACATTTTTCCCATTGGCTTATGTTTAAAAAAATTTTTAGTTTGATTTTTAAAAATGTCAATTGACTTTAGTTATCAGGAAAAATAGGATTGGACTAACCACAACTGTTCTCCCAAAGATCCCTGGATTCTAGTTACCTAGAAACCTTAGTCATTCTTTCTCTGTTGTGTCCCTTTATCTATGCAGTTTTTGCAGGTCCTTTCCAGTTTTCCTTTGTAGTGTCCTGAGTGCCTGTGCTTTTCTTTGTCACAGTTTATCTTTGTAATTCCTCTTTTTTTTAAAAAAAAATATTTATTTACTTTTTAGTTGTAGTTGCACACAATACCTCTATTTGTATGTGGTCTGAGGATCAAACCCAGGGCCTCGGGGTTCGCACGTTAGGAGAGTGCTCTACCACTGAGCCACAACTCCAGCCCCCTTTGTAGTTCCTCTTGATGTCACTTTGGATCACTTCAACTTTTGTCTCCAGTTTCCTCCTAACCCTCCATTATGCTTATAGGTAAAAGACTAATTAATTCATTATGTTATGAGTAATTCCTTTCAATAATAAATAAAATAAAAATCTTAAATTAGAATATTGTCCTGACACTGATTTCATAATGCTTAAAAAAAAAATTGGGCTGGGGATATACTGTATTTTACTGCATAATCCTCACAGATTTTATGCCAAGCTTTTGGCAAAAAGTGGGGTATGATCTTTATTTGAAGTTTTTCTTTAAAAAAATTTTGTTGGTATTATTTAAAAATAATTTATTACTAAACACTCTTTGCTGCAAATTAGGATGCATGGAATATTTATAAATATATGTGGTAAATTATGTGGTAAATATGGTAGCTCAGTGGTAGAGCACTTGCTTAGGATGTGCAAGGCCCTGGGTTCTCAGCACATATTCCCCGGAGGGCCCGTCCCCCCAAAGTTTTTGTTGCACCAAGCAGACGTGTGATTCAGCTTGACCTCTCCTCATGGTGTGGAGTTGTGCATGATAAATCTGAAAAACTGATGACCTCCCTTGCTTCACATCTTTTGTTATTGTTGTTTGTTTTTGGTACTGGGATTGAATCCAGGGGCACTTAACCATTGGGTTACTTCCTCAGCCCATTTTTTGCAAGTTGCTTTAGGACCTCACTAAATTGCTGAGGTTGGCTTTGTTCCCATCTCTCCCCCTTAGTTCAAACTTAATAGAAAATTTGAAGACTGAGCTGGACACAGTGGCGCATGCCTGTAATCCCAGCAATTTCAGAGACTGAGACATAAGATCACAATTTTGAGGCCAACTTCAGCAACTTTGGCCTTAAGCAGCTTAGCTAGCCCCTGTCTCAAAAAAAGAGTAGTAGAACTCCTCTGAGTTTAATCCCCAGTCCCGCCCCCCTAAATGAAGGCCATTTATAGTTTTGCAGTAGTAATAGATTTCTTTTCTTCATAGTTTCTGTTCCCATTGTTTTCATCTTAATTAAAAAAAAAAAACCACAAAGCAAACAACAACAACAACAAAAAAAAAAACCAGGAGATGGACTTGCCTTGTGATCTGAGACAGACAGGACCCTACTCTTGGCCACTCAGTCCTGGTTGTGTAAAGTGACCATGGGCTTGGCTGGTATCTAAGTTTCTGCTGTTGGGTTTGCTCCATTCTACTTCTAAACGCTGCTTAAGTTTGTTCCTGGTTACCTGGTAGCAGTGAAGAAGTTTCCAGAGCTTAGTTCTTTTAGTTAAAGACCTTTATTATAAAAAAATTCTTGACTCTTAGGTTTCCATATGACAAAAAGAATAGTTCACAAATTAGAATTAAGCTATTTTAAAGGAAAATGAAATACTTGAAGCAATTGCTGATTCTGGCTCTGTTAGGGCTTGGGTACCATAATTTGAGACTTGTTTTCTTCTCTCTGAAAAAGACTTAGGAAATGTTCTGCAAAAATACACTACTGAAGCAAGCCAGGTTTTTCCAGTTGATGCCCAGAGGACAATAAATAGCATGAAGACATAGTCTAAAAGGAATCTCTACTTAATGTTTTATGAACTTAATATGTTGTTTAGCCAGGATCATGTGGTTTATCATTACAAATGAAAGGAAAATGTGATTGTTGATTAGTTTGCTTTACTTGCAGTGCTAAGTAAATTTTGTTAACTTTTATGCAGCTTAGGTGGTATCTGCACATTAGTACTGAAAATGACTATGGACTATGTACTTTGAAAAGGAGACATGGTTGGTATTTGAAGAAAATAAATTTGGGAATGTGTTCCCTCTTATCTCGTTTATTCATCGGTTTATGCGCAGGTGAGAATTCACACATGAACAGATTTGCTTACAGGCTAAATATATCTAAAGTTGACTTGTTGACCTCAGGCTTCTGTGTTAGTGAAGGTTTAAGAATAAAAAACTTCATAGGGGTCTGAGACTAGGACCTATATGGAGACTGGGAAGGTGTCTCATGCTAGGCTTGGCCTGGCATGTACAGAGGTACTGGGTAGACCCTAGTACTGCAAGAATAATGAAAAAAAATTGTGTATCAAATGTGAAAATATACTCATTTTCACTGTTATTTAAAGAAAATATTTGATTTAAAAACTTGACTCTTATAAAATGTGCTCATGATCTAAAGAACTATTTAAGTAGCCTAGAAGTTTATTTGTAAATGATCCCTTTTCTTTGCCACTGTCCTCATATAGATGTTGCTATTGTTGGCTGATGTACAGCCTTTTAAATTTCTATCTGTGCCTTAAAAAGTTAAGGGTTTAAAAAATTTTTTTTTTAAATGGATTTCATACATATATTTCTGCACTTTCTTCATTTATCCTTGTATTGTGGACTTCTTCCTCTTTGGTGCTTATATAGACTTATTTCTTTTTAATACTGCTGTAGTAGATGTCCCCCCCCCCCCCACCATGGTTTTTAGAAAGTGTTTCTGACAGATTATCTTAGTTCTGAGTTTGTATAAGAATATTCTGATAAACATTTTAAATAATTGTAGAATCAGTGTTTAAAGTCTGCTGAGGGTAGACTTTCCTACCTTGTCATCCCCAAATTATGGCCAGCAATTGTTCAAATGTAGCTTATTCTGTTTTCAGAGTACTATCATTTGTTAGAAAACTTTATTTTCATATTGAGCTGAAATTTGTTGCTTCCTAATTTCCATTTATTTTTATTTCTGCTTTAGAACCCCAGAAAATTAAGTCTCAGACCTCTTCCATGTGACATTTTCCCAGCTATTTGAAGACAGCTATCAACCTTGATATTCTATTTTCTTTTCTAAGCTGCTGTTCTTTCCCAGCTATGTGTATCACATATGCTATAATTTCCATTTTCTTTCTCAGCCTGATTTTATTGTTCATGCAGTTTGATAGTGCAGAATTCATCGAGACAGTCACTTTCCCTGATACTAATATGGTCCTTAATAAATAGTCAGAAGCTACGAACCATTTTAAGACTTAAAGATTATTTTTATTGATAGATATGACCACAGTAATGTAGGAGATGGGTTCTTTTTCCTTGTAATAATGCTTAATTAATTTATTTTTTTTACTTAATTATTTTAAGTAAAATAATTTTTATTTATTTTTTTTTACCTAACTATTTCAGTAAAGTCCTTTAATTTCCTTGTAATAATTTTTCTTTATGTTCTGAATTATATCTTTTCTTTTTAATTTTTTTTTCAAGGTTCATGTCAAACTTAAATTTTTCATTCTTGGACTGAGTTCTTGGTGTTCAAAGAGTGTGTATTTCTTCCATCTTTTATAAATGCTCTATGAAATACAAGTTCTGTAGGCTACACTGGTGTACTGTGATGCTTCTTGAGGCCTAGTCATTCAGCTTTAGAGAGGGAGAGGGTGGTTCTTCTGTTTTCAAGTCTTGCCATTTCTTTCACTAGTAATGTTTTCATGTGCACTACTTCAGCTTTATCTCAGAGGGTCACACCTCAGCTAGCTGCCTAATTCCTTTTACAGTGACATCTGTTTGATGGCCTTAAAAAAAAAAAAAACACATCACGGGCTGAAATAGAATCTTTTTAGAAATCTTTTTTCTCCTTTTCATTTTTTCCCTAAACATTAATCGATGTTGAAAACAGAAATTCCACAAGATTTGGGTTACAATTTAAATCCATGGTTTATTTATTGAATATTTCACTTTAAGTATTTTTATACATAAAATGGGTTTTGAACTTTAATGTCTTAAGTTTAAACAATATAGTTTTTGTTTTGAATATTTAAATATTGCTACATGAAATTTCAAATGCCTGTTTATCTCAAAATAATTTATCTAAACAGGGGAGGAGGACCTAGGCATGAATCTTCTCTGCTGTATGCAGAGCACTGTTGGGATACGATGCTTACAAATGTTGTATAATTGTTTGCTCTTTTTCATGTATATGTATTTTACAGCTTTGTCTATATTTCATTTATTTAAGATCTGGACGTTGGTAGTTGGCTATGTGTTGACTGTTTCATTCAAGTGGAATACAAGCACTGAACGCTACTTGAGAGCAATTTCAATTCCTGTCTGGATTATATTGCTTTTTCATTTAGGTGGGTCCCTTCTTTTTGGAAAAAAAAAAGTCTGGGTTAAGTTCAGTAGAGACTGACTATGAATGAAAGTGGATTCTTTTTAGTGCTGTGTTACATTTAAAATTCTTTTTAATTTTTAGAAAATGTTATGCTTTAGTTTTTTATTAATCTTGAATGAAATGATATGCTTTTAAAATATCTTTTAATTATTTCAGTAAAGTCCTTTAAAAGCAAATATATCTTAAAAGGTAGAACACGCATGACTGTCATTCGTGGCATTTTGTTGACCGTCCTGCTTGGCATATGGATACGCATTCAAGGACTAGGAGAGGCCCCTGTATATCACACAGTTAAAAGGACTGAAGATAAGAGGGGGGAGCTGAGCCAGTGGGGCTGGGAGGAGGTGGAGATAGAGATATAAAATGTGAAGGCCGGTTTCTAATAGTGGAAGGCTTTCTGTCCTGTGTAGTTTAAGCAGATCTCTGTAGTCATGGGTAGCTTCAGAGAAAGTCCTTGTTCCCCATAGAGACTGTCAGGTATCACAGCTGCTCCGAGTAATGAGTTCCCTGTTGTGTGAAACCACCCACTGTCATCTGGGGGGCTGCTAGGATGTGGTTGAGTGATTTTTTTTTTTTTTCCCCCAGCATGATGCATATGGTTGGGACTTTTTATTTCCAAGTCTGAGTTAATGGGAATAATAAGTTCTAATTTAAAAAACAAAATTCAGTGGTTTCTAAACAGAAAATAAATTTATTTAATTTTTTTTTGGTTTTTAGACTATCAACTTCTAAATTAATTTTTAGAGCTATTTATTGTTATAAACAACAACAAAAAACAGTCAATTGAAAATGTCTGCTTAGAGTCAGATGCTGCACAAAAGCAGCCTTCTCTAGCTTTGCTGAGTTGGAGTACTTCAGTTTATGTGTAAGATCGATGGTCTTACAGACTCCTTTTGACCTTGGGGAAGGGAGAGGAGGGAGGCAGGCCAGTATGTCCTTGTGGCTCTGATGGACTCAGCAGGTGGAAGTGGTTAGAGACCCTAACCCATAGCAACCTGTTAGCACTTTACTACTGAGGAGCATACGTTGAAGCTTTTGCCGTGTCCTTTTGGGCCATTAAGTTCTCTCTTGAAAGAGAGGTTCACACCGCGTGGGTATTTTCAGAAAATCTAGTCAGGTTCCATGACTTCAGGGTCTGTTCCTGATTCTGCTCATTTTGGGGTCAGGTGGGTGGTTGAGTTTGAGTTGATCTTTAGAATGGACTAGATTCCTTAGGCAGTACAAGCCCATTAAGGGCAGGCTGGCACGAACCTGAGCGGAGCCTTTGAGAGCAGGGAATGGCAGTGTTCTGTTTATGGCCTTTAAAAAGCTTTTTTCCCTGTGAAATAATTTTGTAGTTAGCATATATACTAAATTATTTTGTCAGTCAACAAAACTGTTTCTTTTATGAACATGTACTAGGTTTTGATTTAACTAAAAATGTTAATTCTTAATGATTTTCAGCATCCCTGGCTGGCTCATGGAGAATTCCAGTGTTCCTGGTTATTGTTTTCCTGATGTCTGTGGGCACCCTGTATGAAAAACAGAATGGAAGGGAGTCTGCTGGTAAGAAATAGTGCATTCTGTGAATATTGTTCTTAGAAGAATTTTGGAGAATAACTTTTATTAAAAAAAAGCTATGATGAAGTAGTTTTAAATCTACTTAAAAAACCTGTAGTGGTTTCTAAACAGAAAATAAATTTATTTAAATATTTTTTTGGTTTTTAGACTATCATTTTCTTTTTGTACACCCTTTCCCCAGTACTGGGGATTAAACCTAGGGATGCTTTTACCACAGAGCTATATCCCCAGCCCTTTTTATTTTTTTATTTTGAGACAGGATCTCAATAAGTTGCTGAGGATGGCTTCAGACTTGTGATCCTCCTGAGACTACAGGTCTGCCAGCCACACCCAGCTCTTTTTTTTGTATTTTTTATTGAGATATAATTCGTATAATATACTGTCAACCATTTAATGACATTTAGGATATTTACAAAATTATTGTGCAACCCTTAGCTCTCCTAATTCCAAGACATTTTTGTCATCCCAAAAGGAAACCCCTACACATACATTAGGACTTCATTCCTTTTTATAGTTGGATAATATTCCATCATATGGATATACCATATTTTGTTTATCCATTCATCAGTTGCTGGATGTTTGGGTTGTTTCCATCTTTTTTTCTGTTCTGAATGGTGCTGCTATGTTTGAATAGTCATTTTCAACTTTTTTATTTTTTTATTTTTTGAGGTAATGAGGGATTGAACTCAGGGGCACTTGACCACTGAGTCACTCCCCAGCCCTATTTTGTATTTAGAGACTGGGTCTCACTGATTTGTTTAGCGCCTTGCTTTTGCTGAGGCTGGCTTTGAACTTGAGATCCTCCTGCTTCAGCATCCTGAACCACTGGTATTATAGGCATGCACCACTGCACCTGGCTCATTTTCAACTTTTTAAAATTCCTTTTTAAAAATTTTTAATTTAATTTTTATTTTTTTAACAAATACATAAAAATTGTGTGTATAAACTAGGTATCATGCAGTGTTTTGATACATGTATGCCCTTTTCAGTTCTTTAAGGTATTTATGTAGGAGTGAAATTATCAGGTTATATGTAGTTCTATGTTTAACTTTTCCAGGGATTGCCAAGCTATTTTCCATAGCAGCTGCACCATTTTGTATCCCACCAGCAAACATGAGCGTTCCAGATTCTCCATATCCTTGCTAACACTACTTTCCATTTTTTATAATGGCCAGTATAGTGGATATGAAGTGGTATCTTGTGGTGTGGATTTCTGATAGCTAATGATGGTGAGCAGTTTTTCATGTGCTTGTTCATTATTTGCTTATCTTTTTGGAGAAATGTCTATTTAGATTCTTTGCCCTTAAGGTTGTTTGCCTTTTTGTGGTTGGGTTTCAGGAGTTCTTTATATGGTCTGGATACTTCCTAGATATATGATATGAAAGTATTTTCTTCCATTTTGGGGTTGTTTTATCCTCTTGATAGTCTCTATTGATGTGTAGACATTTTTATTTTTGATATCTAATTTTTCCATTTTTCCTTTTGTTGCCTGTGCTTTGCCCTCCAAGGTCATGAATATTTACCCCTAAGTTTTCTAATAAGAATTTTATGTTTTTATCTTATATGTAGACCATTGATGCATTTCAAATTAATTTTTTGTTGTTGTTGGGGTTTTAGGGATTTAACCCAGAACCTCTTGCATGCTGGGCAAATGCTCTGCAACTGAGCAATACCTTCATCCTTTTTAAAACATTTCCCAGGCTGGCTGCAAATTTGTAGTCTTCCTGCTTCAGCCTCCCAAATACCTGGTGTCACAGGTGTATCTGTACCTGTCTGTAATCCACATTTTATACTTGTGTCATAGCATCTTTCTCTGTCAGTGAATATGCTTCTACAGCATTGTTTTTAGCATCTTCATTTTATTTTAATCACATTTTATTTTAAACACACTGGTGTGTTTGTACAGCTTCCTTATAAAGGTGTTTTAAAAAATTAAATTGCTTTCTGTTTTATTTGGTAAATGAATAATGCCTGATAATTGTAAGATAGCTTGTATCCATAAATGTATGTTTCAAACTCTTATCTGAAACAAAGAAACCTTAATTACATATTTTGACAGTGGAAAATAGGGAATATTTTATTTTCTATTTTGCCATTTTTTAAAGTTGTCTATTTTCGGCCTGTATTCCTGTTCAGAATCTGTTAGATTCTGTGATTATATATCAGACCAATGGAAATAAATTTCCTGTCTGGGCATCTAGTGTAGAAAGCTTGGTAGTTTTGCTTGTTCCTCAGGTTAGTTTTATCTTTCTTCCTTTCCCCTAGTTGTGGGTCATTCAGACAGCTCTACTTGCTCTTTACCTCTCACCTGGGGTGGCTTTCTTTTTTGATTGCTTTTGCCCAGTGCCGATTGAGTAGGGTCAGCTCTTTGTAGGTTCTATACCTTTGGATTCAACCAAATGAATATCATAAATATCTCGGAAAAAATGACATCTGTATTTAACATTAACAGATTTTTTTCTTGTTATTATTCCCAAGAAAATACAGAATAACAGCTATTTACATAGCATTTACATTTTACCAGTATTATAAGGAATTCAAAGATGATTTAATGGGTATGGGAGGATTTGTGTATGTTATATGGAAATCATGTAAGGAATTTGAGCATCCTCACAGTTTATTTTATGGAGGTTCTGCAACTTATCCCTTATGATATCAAGGGACAGCTGTACCTTAATCCAAGAATATGATTAATGCAGGTTTAAAACAAAGGTTTCAGCTGTTTTTTTTTTTTTTTTAATAGAGTATAAATTCTAGTCATCTGGTAATGATAGCCTAGAGAACTGTGAGAACAAGAATTCTAAAACCATGGGGAAAAAGACCAGGTCAGTTATTGTCATCAGCCACAAACCTAGAATAGTGGTGTGTTGGCATGCAGGCTAGATTTATGGTATTTGTGTTCTTGACTATGACAATGAAGGAAATTACAGCGTTGCAGAGTAGATGTTGAGAGCAGATTTGGAAATGTTGGTTTTCCTTGTTTTACTCTCATTCTACCCCCTCCCTTTTTTTTTTTTTTATAAAGAAAGAGGAGAGAGAGAGAGAATTTTTTTTTTAATATTTATTTTTCAGTTCTCGGCAGACACAACATCTTTGTTTGTATGTGGTGCTGAGGATCGAACCCGGGCCGCACGCATGGCAGGCGAGCGCGCTACCGCTTGAGCCACATCCCCAGCCCCCCTTTTTTTTAAAAAAAAATTTTTTTAGTTGTCAATGGATCTTTTCTTTAATTTATTTATATGTAGTGCTGAGGATTGAACCCATGGCTTCACACATGCCAGGCAAATGCTCTACCACTGAGCCACAATTCTAGCCTGCTTCTTGATCTGGAATTCTTTTATGGTCTTCTGGTCTTAATGCTCATCATACAATAAATCTATAAAATATTTTTTTTTCTAAATTTCTAAATATTTTTCCTCATGCCCTTAGAACCTTGTTTCTTTATGAATCAGAACTTAGCCTCTCTTGTCCATAGTGGGGCTGCTGTTTCCTTCCCTTGTGTGGATACAGTTAGGTACAGGATTGCTTCCTGGTATGGCCTGGCCTTGCTCTTGTGCGCCAGTCCCCTGTGTGGATATCCTTCTTTATGTCTTCTGAGCTTTGAATCTTTTGCTGCTGTAGAAGCTTTTGTAGTCTGTGGTTCACTAGATTCACAAAATTAGTTCTCTCGATTTCATTAAAATTCAAAGCATGAGTTTGTTTAGTTCCGAGATCCAGAAAATTCTTACGGTCATTGCTGAGTTAGTTTCAGTAGTTTCTCAGTGGCTTTCTCTTGGACCTGGGGAGCTTTTTCATTGTATTTCCTGGAAATCCAAGTTTATAAAATGTAGGGAAAAATGTTTCAGTGACTATCATGGGCTGAGAATTCTGTTTTTAAGTGTGCTCTTTGTAAATCCAACAACCAACTAACCTACCAGCCAAAACCCGCAAACCAACCAAACAAAAAATAAGCAAATAAAACTTTGTAAAATTTTTTCATGGAGACATTTAATTTCAAAGGTTAACTGATGTGCCCACAGTCACAGAGATGAAGCTAAGATTTAAAACCAGTGTTCTTGATCCTAAGCCCAGTGTTCTTTCCCTTTCCCTGGTTCTTTCAGTAAATGACAGTTATTTAGTAAAAAAAAAAAATTAACAACTACTGATCCTTCTTGCACTAGTTGTAGTTGTCAACTCCTTTATTCTTCATGTTGGCCCTCTTGGTGTACCATAGCCATAGGACTTAGCTTCTCTGCCTCCTGGATTCCACAAATCTCAATCAGAAACTTGGTTTCTTAGTCCATTTTGTATTGTTATAACAGAATAGCACAGGCTGGTATCCTGAACAGGAATTTATTGCTCCAAGTTCTGGAGGCTGGGAAGTTTGATACCAAGGTGCTAGCATCTGTTGAGGGCCTGCTTGTTAAGGCAACTCAATACTTTTGGTCTCTATCCTATAGTACTTCTTGATACCGTTACATGGTGTTTAAATTTCAGCATGAGTTTTGGAAGGAACAAACCATAGCATCTGGGGGCAGCTTCTCTGTGTCCTCTTGGCCTGTGAGAGAAGAGAAACTTTAACATTATTCCTATCTCACCGATGAGGTTCTGTTGCCTCTTCAAACATGCCATCTTAGCAAGTGGGTGAGATTGGTATTATAGTTATTTTACAGATGAAGAAACAGACTCGGCGAGCCATTTGCTCTGAGAGATTTCTTGGAAAGTAAGGGAAATAAGCATCAGGTGTATCTTTAGTAGCCTGGGTACCCATCCTGAGAAGTACTGAATACAGCTGTCTCCTGCTCTTCCTGACATTGGTAATTGTGACCAGAAGTACCTTTTCAGGGAGGAACTGATAGTTACCTAAGTTGTTTGGGATAATATGTAATCTGAATGAATAACTTTGGCCCAGGTAAGCTCAAATCAGAAAAGAAAAGGAGAGAACTAAGTTTCTTACTGCTCATCTCTTGCTCCCTGATTATGGTGCTGAGAAACTTCTGGTCCACATCCCGGTCCTTCTGAAGTGATGCTAGAAGTGATCTAGAGGGAGATGTATCTTTCACATTGATAATGGAGACAGAAGCCTACTCAAGGAGACTTTGCAAGCTAGGGAGGCTTTATTTGGTATGCTGTGCCTCCTCCAGCAAGCATCTTTGGATATATTTCTGGCAACTGCCACTATTTTGTGAAAAAGAACAAAGTAAATCAAGAGGTATCTCCTCATTGAGATTGTTTTCAGAATATATTTTCCCATGATTATTTAACATTGAGGTACCCATTGTTGAGTTAGTCATATTAATAGATTTTAATCTGACTTTGTTTTTTCTGTTCTGATTGATGACTGCTTGTTTGAACTTGTGTAGATGTCTCACTTCATACTGCCCTCATCCCTGTGGAGACTGACGCTTGAAACCTTGGATGTTCTTTTCTTTTTTGTTTTTAGACCTTGAGTCCCAAGAATGTGTTCCCTTGTTTATGTGCCTATTTTTAGCTGGGAATTTTTATCTAATACCACGACCTTGACTAGAATCTCAGTCCTGGCATACTTCTGTCCAGACCCTTGGGTTTTTGAAGTGCTGAAGGACACCACTAGGATAGAAGTTATTAAGATGCATGTGTGTTTGATAGGAGCAGTTAATGTCTTACAGCCATAGTTTTCAAATGGTCTTTGTTGATTTTTCTGTGTTCTACTTTCATGCTTTTTTAAAGTGTGAGGTGTTCTAAAAATTGGCTGAACCATTCGTATGTTAACTAGAATGATAATCACATAATTCTCATAGATGTAGCTAAGAGTTATTGAATGTTTATTGCATATTTTACTGACATCAACAAGTTGGAGAGTTATTCTTAAGTCACAGTTTTGAGGATTTAATTTCCTTTAGTTTTCCTCAAGTCTTTCAGTGCTTACTCTATGTAAGATACTTATCGCTGTGGGAGAGCTAAAAACCTCTACTAAGGGGAAGAGACTTAGGGAAATGGCTATCCTGTGATACTAAGGAGTGAATGGTACAAAGAAATATTGTGGAAGTGATAGGACTTGTGCTTACATTTGATGCCATCAAAGCCAACAGTTTTGGTATAGATGATGGTGATAATTAAGATTTATTGGGCATTTCCTGTATACCAGGCATCATTCCAAGCGTTTTATTCAGACACACACACACACACACACACACACACACACACACAGTTTCACTTGATTCACATGTGAAGTAGGAATTTATATGAGCCCCATTTTACACATGAGGAGACTGATGTGTAAGAACTTGACTGTGGTCATCCAGGTAGTAAGGACTGGACCTGGGATTTGAACGTGGGCCATTTTGGTTCCTCATCTGTGCTCCTGCTCCAGTTGTCTCCATAAGTCAGGTTTTTTCTTTTGAAGCTCCCAAAATACCCAGTCCTCAATAGCTTTGTAATTTATCAACATACATTTTTTTGTGTGGTTAATTCACATATGTCTCTTGCATTAGGCTCCTGGAGGCGGGTCTTTGTCTTTATCCCTCACACACATTATAGCAAGTAATGAGTGCATAAGCCCTTGCCCTCTTTTTAAAAAAATTTGTTCTAATTAGTTATGCATGATAGCCATAGTGTCATCTTGGGACACCAGCCCTTGCCCTCCTAATTGTCATCTTGGAAGGAACTTGGAAGGATAGGTGAATAAGGTCCCAATCCAAATATATAACAGACTTTCTTTTCAGACTATGAGTTTAATTTCTTTCCAATTGCCTGAAAGTAGACTTCTTTCCTGCCCCTGGGATACGTATTGGAGGAGGGATAGGCTTGAGGTAGGTGAATGTTTTTGATCCTGATGTCTGACTATATCAGAGCCTTCTTGGGCTCTGGCTTGCTTATTTCTGGCAGACGGCCAGCCTTGAAATTGTTGGTTATGCAGAGCTAATTTGGAGCTAAAAGTCACTGGCTTTCTGAAGGGTTGTGGTTCTTTTCACTTGCTTGGCAGAATTCTCTGTTGTCACACTGAATATTGGTCTACCAAAGGTAAGGTCATAGATGTATGAGTGTGGTTGTATGATTTGGTGACTAAAATGGCCTGTATTCTTCGATTGTGGACAGTAGAATCCATTTTAGATGATATAAAGAGTAAGTATTGTTGGTTAGAATTTAGAAATTTCTGCATGTGCAATTTTTGGAAACTAGGCTTGGCTCCAACAAAGGCAGGAGCACTGCAACCAGGAGAGCCGCTCAGTAACACCAAAGGACAATTCATACAGAAGTCATGGCTGCTCCTGCTGGCCATTAGAAATCAGATAGCAGAGCTCCTGCAACTTTTGCTGAATTGCTGCAGAAAATCATATGCCTCCATGACAATTTGATGTGAAAGCTATGTGGCTTCTAAATTACAGAGTGACACTCTGTCATCCAAGCCTTGCATAGGTGTACTGGCTTGATAGAAACTGCATTACACGTGAGATTTTCATTGCAAGGAGTCTAAGAAATATTTATTCTTTGCTTTCCAGCCTCTAGTATGCAAGAAAGCACACTAGTACCTCATGTTTTGTGAACTAGTCATCTACCATAGCAGATCATTGCAGACAGACCTTGTTTGTCATAAGTGTTTTATTTGAGCTTAATGTAAATGATTAGGCTTGGTACTATTAGGAAGTTAACACGGGAATATATAACATGAAATGAGGTCATGATGTTTTTATAGATTTTCAGAGTGGTGGATTTTGCCTGTGCTGAATTGTGTGGTTTTTGCATAATATCTATGTATTTGCGTGTTCATTTAGGAAATGTATTACTGAGAGCACCAATTGTGGGGTGTCTGTGCTAGAACCTAGTAATACAAAGGGTAAGAGAGTTTAAACAGAGAGCTTTTAAACTTGGTGTGGCAGTGTTTTTTCATAGAAGTGTGTATTAAAATCAACTTGTAAAGTTAAATATAAGCTCCAAACTTCAAATTTATATATGCAGTATCTCTCACACCCACCAGCATCGTCTCTAAATGAGAAAGACTTGAGCTTTTAGCAAATTGTCTTGCTGATTTTCAAGCATTCTTCCTCAGTGAAGAACATTGGTCCATTGGGTCAGAAATAACCATTTTGTTTTACTGTTTTTGAAAATTTAGGATTGTGTTTAAATTTGCAACCTTTATTTCCTGCTTTGTTCATTTGCTTCAAACACTTTAAGAATGTGTGCTTCTTTTACAGGGGCAGAGTTACCAGGACAAGTAATCTCCATGGCAGCGTCTACTCTAGCCAACTTGGCCATCTCCATCACGGGTTATGAGTCTAGCAGTGAAGACCAGCCCTCCACTCAGCCTGCAGGTGATTGAGGTCCTGAGGCATTCAGAATTATTCTAGAAAATGAGATCTAAATAGAGGATGGAGTTAAGAAGGATGCTAGCATCACAGAGTGCTGCTTGTCTTGCTGGTCCTTCATTTTTTCTCTCTAATGACCATTCTTACACCATTCAAGGCCACCTGTCTTTGTCCTCATGTCACTTTTTCATACATTTAATTGTTTACCTTCTTGAGTTTCTTATCTTGGCTCTTCTACCACCCCCTTTTTAGAAATGCTTTTTTTTTTTCTTTTGTTCTTTGTCACTTTGATTTTTCTTTTCTTGGTGTCTTATTTACCTTTTCCACAGGCCTCTCTACCTTAGGCTGTTTCTCATCTCCCATTTCTTTATAGCTGTCACTTCTCTTGCATTGATTTATTTTGTTCTATTTCTTTGTTACTTTTTCTTTTGCTTCCTTTTCTCAGTTCACATTCTTTTTTTGCAGGGGAGGGGGATGTTTTCATCCATTTCTCTGGCATTCTTTTTTTTTATAAAAGTTTGGTTTGCTTGCTTTATGCTGTGTATATTGACTGTTCCCTGAACTGACCCCCCTACTTATTTTCTGTGGCCTGGCTCTTGGAGTCACAAGCTCCTGTGAGATGCTCCTGGTAGATTTACATCTGAATATGTTACTGTGCCCTCCCAGAGCTTGGGAATGTGGAAAGCCGCCTTGGTCTGTGCTGAGACACCTTTCTGAGCTGGAGCCATTTGGAGTTAGGGAATATTTATAGTGAGCTGTTGGTGAGGAACTGACTTTAGACACAAGTAGAAGGAAGCAATCATCCAGAGAAAAGAACCAAGAGTAGTAGGAGCACTTATATATATATTTTTTTACACATTAAATCATGTTCTAAAGTGGAAAGAAGATGATGGGTTATGAAGTGGTTATTCTTCCAGATATCTAACATACCCACCAACATAGTGTTTCCAAACTAGAAAGATAATAAGAGAGCAAAGTCAAACAAAATCATGCTATAACTAGCGTGGCTCCTAGCCCTTACCTCAGGATAGAATGGTAGTCTTAGTAAGGTGAGCTGACTTACTGTGGTACAGAGTATCTCAGCAGTAAAGTTTATTCACAGCTAAACATTTAACATTAAAATAAGCACTGAGGAAATTATGATAGAACATTCAGCTGGATACTCTGTGGCTGCTTATAAAAATGATGACATAACAGGGAATTATTCATTCAACACATATTTAATGAGCACCTACCTACAGCAGGTCAGATACTTTTCTGTGTGCTAGGAATTCAGTGGAGGAAGAACAACATAGACAAGGTCTTCGCCCTCTGGCTGACTTTGTTCTGAAGTGAGAAAATGGAAAAAGATAAGTGGAACATGATATAACCAGGTGAAGCTGTGTAAAAGACTAGGGCACCTCGGCAACTTAGTGAGACCCTGTTTCACAACAAAAATATAAGGGATGGGGAATGTAGCTCAGTGGTTAAGCACCCCTGGGTTCAATCTCTGGTAACAAAAGAAAACCAACAAAAAATAAAAAAAAACAAAAAAGACTGGGGCAAATAGGTTGATTATAGGTGTTCATTTCTGTGTTGTTTTTTTTTAAAGACTTTCCAAAATATGATTTACTTTTGTAATTAATATTTTTTTAATGAAAGGCAAGATGAGGTATATGGACTAAGATTGAGGTATATGGACGAATATTGTCTTAAAATTTATATGATTTCTGGTGTATATGGTATGTCTTGTCAAAACTAGGAAGCAGAAATAATTTATAGTAAAATGTAGCAATTGTTACATCATTAGGAAAGAAGAGTGCCTTATGTGAAACAATCCTGTGTAGTTTCCTTTATTTGAAAATTTCTCAACCCACAATCTCTCTTTGTTTTATATCTCATTCAAAGAAAAGACACATTTGAAAGTCCTGGGTTCTTTTAATAGCAATTGGTTCTATTTTAGGAGAAATGACACTAAAAAAGTCACATTATGTCAGATGCATGTCAATACATCTAATCTAAATTTCTATTGAAAGAGGAAGAGGGCTGGTGTTGTAGCTCAGTAGTGGAGTATTTTCCTAGCATGTGTGAGGTCCTGGGATTGATCCTCAAGACTGCAAAAGCAAAAATATAAGAAAGGAAGAATTCCTATATACAGAAATTCTTGTATATGTATTTGTTGCTTTATGTGGTTTGAATAATTTTTGATTATTATTATACTCAGCTACATTGTCATGTATTTTTCTCTAGTTTATGTAAATGATATGTGTATATTAGTTATAAAAAACATTTCATCTTCCAACAGTATTTCCTAACAATTTCCTTAGATTTGACCTCTGTCAGTAGTGTAATTCTCCACAAGTTTTTCAGTGTGTATAAAAAGATTTGTAAACACATACAAATCTTTTGGTCTCTTTAGACATAATGATATTATATATTCTGTCAGAGTACATTTAATAATATAGGGCAGGCTAACAGATTGCTCTGTTACTGTTTCTTAAAGTGGACTAATATGGTCTGTGATTTTTTTCCCCCCCTTTTCAGAAGCCACAGACAAGGAAGAACCCCCTCCAATGCTGTCTGTCTCTTCCTCACCGTCCTCCTCTTCCTCACCCTCCTCCCCTTCACCCACCCTGGGCAGACAAAGACCTGAAATCGGAACATTTCTTAGAAAGAAGAAAACTAGTGACATCTACTTTGTGTCTCTTGTTTGGGCCATCGTTGTTGTCCAGATCTGGTTGAACCTGTGGATTGTGCAGTTGTTGCCCGTGCCTATTGCAGGTCATTATCTGGTTAATTAAAATCTGCTCTTGTCTCCAAAGATTCCCCCCCCCCCCCCCCTTTTTTCTTTTTTGACTTTGGATTTTAGCATTTGATAAAATTTTATTGTCACTTTAAAACAGTTGTATATTTGCATTTAAGTCATGGAACAAATGTTATTCTGGAAATTTGTTTCTTTGATATTTCATTAATATTTCACCCTTAAGCAGATATATACTTAGCTTCTTATTGATTGGAAATCTGTTTTCTACTATATCCAAAAGCTTAAATTTATTTTCCTGTATGCCTTTTGGATCACTAGTTTTCACCACTTCTTATTCTCATTGTATTGGTCAGCTAATTAAATCTTAGCCATTATTTTAAACGTTTATTTTGACCAAGAACTGTAGAGTGCTGTCCTGAGGGAACATATAGTATAAATAGTTGAAATTTCTGTTTCTTATGTCCTCAAGAGAACTTCTGGTAGGCACTTAGAACAAGATGCAGTTAAATTAAGCAAGTCACAGAGAACATACTATGGCTCTGCTTCTGTTAGGGCAATTATAGAAATGCTTAGTGAAATGTGGTTAAAATTGCTCTTCTAGATTGTTCCAACCTTTTTTGGTTCTGCCTGATGATTTCCTTGTGCTGGCAAATCATGTGTTGGGGTTGTTAGAACCCCCTTTTTATTAAGGTTTGTTACCAGGAGTTAAGTTTCTCCTGGACATATCTGAACCTTCTGGTCATCAAAGGAATTTGATATGGTCTTGGGAGGGCAGGCTGTAACTAAGGTGGTCCCTCAAATGCTTTCTACAACCTGTGATATCATGATATCACATAGATATAGAGCTTTTCTAGGGATTTAAAAATGCTAACGAAGGAATTGTTGAACTGGTACGCAGTACAGAGCTCATGGTTCAAAATAGGAAATGGATCCTCTGGTTATAAGGTCAGGGCTAAGAACACAAATCCCTGGAGTTAGGGAAATTATAGTGGATAGGAGTAGTTATCCAGGTCCAACCTTCAAGGCAGGCCCCACAGATCTGTAACACTGCCTTCTGGGCCCTCTACCTTCTGAGTTGTATTTATTAGGGGGCTTAACTGCTTGAAGGGCCACTGCACTGCCTAACTCCAGGGGGAGACATTCCCATTGTGGTTTCCTGAGGTCCCCACTGAAATTGTGCAGTGCTGTCTCAGGGCTGCTTGCACTCAGCTGACTTCTTTGCTCAGCCCTGGCATCTGCTCAGATGTGCAGAGCAGCATCAAATGAGGAAATGGGAACACACTTGTTACCCTGCAGTGGCATAAAATCATGATGTGTGTGAAATACTTTATATTTTTCTGGTTGCTAAATGTCAAAACATCAAAGGAAAAGAACCAAGTTCGGAAAGAACAACTGTAATAGCTAGAGAGATTAGAAAATATCAGGGGTTAGTTTTCTTTACTTAGGAAGGGGAGAGTATGGGAACTGTTATAGTTACTGAAACCTGCATGATAAGAATATCTTGTATTTATGTGAGCTGTAAAATAATCCCTGACTCCTCCGAGGATTCAGACGTCACAAAGAAGATAGTATGTGGGTGGCGGGGACTGTGTGAAAAGTTATCTGGCCAAGTTCATCTGTTTAGAACTTGAATTCTTCCACTTCTCCCTTTTTAGCATTGATCTTTATTTTAATAATAGTTTTACTGTTTTAGAAAGGAAATTAAGGAGTCTTTTCATATTATACCTTTCTGATCTGTATTTTGTTTGCATATGTATCTTATAGTGTGGATCATCAAAAAGCTTGTTATTCACTTTGGTGTTGTGGACTTCCTGGAGAAGCGCTGCCGGGTTTGGTGGCAGGTCATTGAGCATTTCCTGAAGGAGCGACAGGAGGCTTTAGCACCGTGGCCAATCATTGGGCTTGGAAAATTCTTGTTAAAAGTTGACAGCAAGGTATCATATTTTAAGAGCTTGGTCCAGAGTTTATATCTTTCATGGTTTGAAATGTTTCATTCGATGGTATTTAGTGTTTTTTCATAACTGTTGATGATACATTTAACATCTAATTCAACGATGAAATTCTGAAGTTTGGTATTATGGTTCGTATAAGGATATAATGGATTTATTTTAAATAAGTATTATGTGGTTTTCCTCTTAAATATGGGAGAAAAGGATTTTATGGAGTACCTAGTTCAACTCTTTCACTTTTTTAGGACTAAACTGAAATCCAGAAATGTTAAGTGATTTGCCTAAAATTTTATAACTAGGTAATGGCTCAGATCAGTGAGTATTTTTGGAATAATTCCTGTTTGTCAAATATTGTGCTAATTTCAGGGAAGGTCAGGTGAATCATGGAAAACCAGATACAGTAGCTCATTTAGTGGAGATAAACAACAATTCATGAAAACCCAAGGTTTAGTGGGTTAAAGAATGTGGACTCTGCATCCAAACTCTGGTTTCAGATCCCACTTCTGCTGCTTAGTAGCCTTATGACCTTGAACAGGTATCTTTAACTTTTCTGTGCCTTGGTTTTCATATCAATAAAATGGGTATAATAGCACCTACATCATAGAATCATTGTGAAGGTTAAGTGAGTTAATGTCAACCCTGTGTCAGTGCCTGGTACTCAGTAAGCTCTATGTAAGTAAGTGTTATCTAATTTACTTTATATACTAAGTACAGGATTCAGTGGTAGCACCAAGCAAGAAATGACTTCTGTTGATAAGGAAGTAGGAAAGGGAAGTTTTGCAGAAGATGTGATGGCAGGGCAAGTTTTGAAGCACAGAGCAAGTTTTGAAGTAGGAGTTCATTAGGTAGACCTGGCAATCGCATAGGGTAGAGCCAGCATGGTGGCACTTGCCTGTAATCTCAGCCACTTAGATTCAGAGACAGGAGAATTCCAAGTTCAAGGCCAGCCTCAGCACTACTTCCTGAGAATCCGTCTCAAAAACAAACAAACAAAAAAAACAAGGACAGGGGAGTAGCTCAGTGGTACAGTACCCCTGGGTTCAGCCCTCAGCACCCCTCCCCCCCAAGAAAAAGATAGGTAGTAGACGCGGCAGTAAGAGCAGGTAAATGGAGCGGTGCAAAGGCAGACACTAAGCCTGCAGCATTCAGGTTGCTTTATGCATTTTATTTGTTGGATTACCAAGAATGCTTACAGCTCTCATCATCCCAGTCCTTGTTGGTCATAGAGGAATGCTACATTCTCTTGATTTGAAGCTTCTTAAATGTGTTATGGTTTTCTCCTAGTTTTTCCTGACAATTTCCTTCTCATGCTCTCAGTGACTTTCTTTTCTTTTCATACTGTTATTGCATTCTCTAATGATGTTCCACTGTTCTTATCTTCTCTTTCTCACCTTCCCCCTATCCTCAAGCTCTGGCACTGGCTAAATAAGAAGGTAAATGAATACACAGATATTGGTTTTTACTACTGAATTCTGTAACCGCTCCTCCCCCAGTATCTCCCTTCTCTCTCTGTGTCTCTGTCCATATGTCAAACTAAGCTTCTACTTATATAAGCTATGGAAGGTCGTGAAGCATGAATACTGTCACAGTTCAATTTGCTAAAACCTCAACAAAGACTGTTTAGGATATGGAGGGTATCTCCTTGTTCCAGTGCTTGTGAGAAGGTCTGTCTTGTGGTCTTTGATTTCCATGCCTTTCCAGCACTGTGATGGGGCTCCTCTAGTCTCCTCTGATGTATGCCAGCACATGAGGTGGCAGTTATAAAGAAAGAGCTTTGTTACTTTTTCTATAAATAACACAGGAATTCTTAAAGATGACAAGTCTGATATATTTGTATGATTCCCTTGGTTAGTCATTTTATCCACATACACATAGGCGCGTGTACACACACACACACACACACACACACAAAAGAACTAGTGTTTCAAAATTTGATTTTTAGCTTAAAACAGATTGTAGTCATGGCCTGTGACATCTAATTTTTTTATGTTCCCAAGGCATGGAGTTGTGTAAGACTCTAAAAAGTCTTCAGTGAATATTTTATAGCAGGTCATAAGAAAGATATGGTACTTCTTTGCAATAAGCCAAAATTAGACTTGCAAATGTAGTGGTTAGGATTTTTTTTTCCTGTCAAAAGGAGGAAAAGGAAGACTTTGGCAATGCATAAATTTCAACTTTGGATTGAAAACAAGCAATGTATGAAATAGACTCCCCCAGTCGCACTCATGTATGTTGTATACTTGCCCATTCCTTATAAAACTAGCATGAGTAGATGAGTTTAATCCACAGCAAGTGATGTGCAGAAAGTCACGTTTTCTTATTTTGATCAAGGTAGATGATTTTGTATATTTTCCTAATTTGTCCTGAAGAAATGAAAATTGCTTCCAAGGAAAGTGAGAAAGGAGAACTGACTTCATTAGGTTAAATTTGATCTATTGTCAGTAGACTAATGAGTTAGATAACCTTAATTCAAGAACTTGATTCTAAACTGCATAATTAGATTAGTTAAAAAGAGTCCTATTACCTCAGCCATCAGGAACTTCCCTTTTCTTGGATGATTCCATGTAGCATGTGTGAAGCATTGTTGTGGAGTTAGAGTAACTGCTTGAAATTCTGAGTGTGTTCCAGGAAAGCACATAAATGAAGGCTGTTTTACTGCATTACAGCCAAGGTCAGAAAATGGCAACCTTGGGTAATTTTGATACATAAAATGTTCAAGTGGAGTGAATTAGGAAACTGATTCAATCAAGAGGACAGGGCAAGAGCATCCATCTTATGTTTGAGTGAACTGTGATCTGTTTCTCAGGGCTTATTTGTTTTATTTATTAATACTATTCACACTAAGACTCAAGTAGGAGCTGGTTAAAGAAATAAAGCAAAACATGGGCCTGGGGTAAGGAAATAGAAGAGAAACTCAGTAGTGCTTGATGAAGTCAGCTTAGAGGTGTTTTGAATGGCTTTTGGTATAGGTATAAATTACAGACATTTATCTTATTTTAAAATTATCCCCTTCCCCTTAAAAAAATAAACAACAACAAAAAGCCTCATAAGTTAAAGTAATTGGTCACAGCCTGGAAGCACTGGGGGATTATTGCTTGAGGCCCTGCAGTTTCCATGAGCCAGGCAGGGTGCTGGGTGGTCTGGTGTTCACTGCCCACAGCAGAGCATGGGACAGGGTCAGCTTCCTGGGATGGCATGTCTGGCATGTCTTTAGGAATTCTGTTCTCTGGAGCCGTGTGCATTGCTTCCTGTGTCCACGTCTCTTGTTCTGTCTCTGAGATTCTGTTTATTTGTGGGTCTCGTTCTATTCACTTTATCAGGGGTGTGTTGTCCTCCCACCCCCCCCCCCCTCCCTAGATTGAGATTTTTTTTTTTTTTTCCTTTTTTTTTTTTTCTTTTTTGGGGGTGTTTTCCCCCCCCCCCCCCCCCCCGAGTTTTCTATCCTTTTGTTTTTTCCTGCTCTTATGGTCCTTAGTTATTTATGTACCAACTCCCATGCCCACATTTATTTCTTTTCTAATAACTTTTTCTATGCCTTTTTATTCTTTAATAAGTCTTTTTCTGTCTTCTCCCGTCTGTATTCTCTGTTTCACTGTCTCCCTTATCACTCCGTTCTCAGTTTAATTTTAGTTGACCATAATGTGAATTAAAAAAAAAATAGCTTATGTGTTGCATCTTAAATAATTTTATTTTAATTTTTCATGAAACAGCTAAATATCCCTGTTATCCCTGGGCATAAATTTTTATTTAGGCAACCTGGGTATAGGGCATGTTAGTTATACCAGGGGCATCCAAAACCTTCAACAAGTACTTTATGCTTAATTTCTGACAAAATTGGAATTGGGAAAATTCTACCCTAGCTTAAAAATATGAAGTTTGATTTTGTAATCTTTATATACATAATATGTTTCTGGATATTCTGTTTTATATGTTACATACCCAGCTATAAATTTAGATTTCTATATTTTCTAAATAGAACTTAATTTTCATTTAAAAATACATTTTGGGATATGACTTTTCTAAAGGAAAAAAAAAAAGCAGAAGCTCCTTTCTTATTAGTGGATATGAATCTAGTCATAATTCTTAAATTACTGTATGCTTGCTTTCTCAGCTATCTGTTAATTGAATGCTTGCCGTATGCTTGGTACTGTTAGATTTTGGAGATACAAAGAGGGGTAATGGACGAAACACTAGCCCTTTCTTCAGGAAGTTGTCCGAAGAACTGGGTGTTCAGCTGGTTGCTGATTGTGCACTTTTCATTTCATTGATTTTAGAATTTACCTTCAAAATAAGACATCTGACCTTCCATATCTTAGAAACTTGTTATTTCTTTTTTAATCTCTGCATTGTCTTTGAAGCTTTGGAAGCATGCACTGAAAATTAACTCTTCTGTTTGAAGCTCTAACTGTCCAGATTACAGATTAACTTTTTATCTTTTAGTTCACCTTAGCATCGATCACTTAATGACAGTGTCCTTCATGAAATAACAGATAAGAGGACAACCAGCTTATAAGCATGGCGTAGAAAATAAATGTAGGAGACGTGGTGATTTTTTAGCAAATATTCTTTGCTCTTCTAACTTAGTGTTCAGAGAGCATGTAGTTCAGATTTAAATTGAGAATAATTTTCTTAGTAATGCTAAGATGTTGGATGGAGGAATATAATGTAATATCTTAGTAATTGTTACTCTTATTAAATTTTAAAATGTTAAGTGGTAGCTTTGCACGGCAGGAGTTTTTGAAATCTATGGAATTGTTATATATTCTGCAAACAGAAATTGTTTAGCATGTAGGATTATTTGTGGTTGTGAAAGATGAGGGAACTCATCGTCAACATATCAAAAATAGCATTTAAGGAGAGCATAATTTTTATTATTGATGAAGGAATAACCATTACATTGATTTACATTTGATTAATTATAATGTCACAAAGCTTATGTTTTCAAAAGAATTTACTTCAAATGGAATAACAGTCTTTTAAGAGCACTTTATTATAAAATCTTTCAAATGTAGAAAGATTTAGAGAATACTTATTTACCTAACCCCCAGTTTGATAACACTACCTAAATAATTACCAATTTGTGCATCTACCTCCCAACCCTCCTATCCACCCCTGTAACTGCTATCTTGAATTTGCTATTTATTTTTGCTTGAACATTACATTTTTTTATTATTACTATCTTTATAACCCTAAATAAAGGGAAAAACATTTCAAATGTTACTGCGATTTTTACTTTACTCCTATTTTATCTGTGTAATTTAGGGCATACCTGTATTATAAGAACCATAATTTTTCTAAAGTCATCTATGTCTCCTGATTAATAGTCAACTTCATGAGATTTTTTAGGTCAACTAATGAATTTTCATTGTTTTGTTGGAACATTTACCAGATGATAAATTATAATTTGAATTGTAGGTATACCACAGTATGAAATTCAAACATAGATATGGGGTTATTTGCCAGTTGACTGCCTTTTCTTAGCTATGACTGTAATGAACTCTTCCCATAACAAACAGTAGTAATTAATAGTTAACTTTCTAAAGTTACTTACAGCTTTTATTGCTTTAATTAGTGTGCCATAGTTTGCTTTGCAATGTTGAGATTTATATTTGTGTTCATGATACTTTAATACATAAGTGCTTTTATTAAGTTGTATTTTAAAGATAATTCTCTTTTTCGTTTCTGTGCAGATGATCATCTGGTTGGAGAAGATGTTAGATAAAATAATTAGCATTTTCATCATATTTTTGCTAGTAATAGGAACCCTTCTTTTAGCCCTTCTCCTGACTGCAAAGGTAAAGCACAACAATTACTATTCCCACTAATAAATTCATTATTGTTAGAATCATGGTGTAGATGATAAGCCAGCAGAAGAGACGTGGAACATGTTACTTGGCTTATAAGTATATATATAACAACTAAACCTATTTATGATGTGTATATTAATGATTTTGCAATGAATTTGCCTAGCATGTTTTCTTTTAAAATCTCTTTTATGTGCATTTTATTTTATCATCAAAATCCTCAGGAGGAAATGCAGATAAAAAAATAACATACTGAAGAACAAATGAGCTTTTTTTTTCCCCCTCATCAGGAGAATTACGGACTATTCTCAAGATTCCTAATCTTTTCACTAGATCTGAATGCTTTTCTTCCTCACTCCCTCCTTTCTTCCTTCCCTTCCCTCCTTTCCTTTGTTGTGATGAGGCCTTGCTGTGTTGCCCAGGCTGGCCCCAAACTCCGGAGCTCAGACAGTTCTGCCTCAGTCTCCCTACTAGCTGGGACTGCAGACACACACCACAGGACCTGGCTTCAAAATTTCTTGAGTAGCTCCTTCCTTTTTTGTCTTGTTGGCCTTTTTGCTGAAATCCCATAAGGTCTTTATTTCTTTCTTTCCAGCTTGTATTTCTATTCTCCCCTTTCATCTCTTCAAAGAAATCCGTTTCCCAAAGCACAGCTAAAATTTTTTTCTACAGTGATATCTTTTATTTACTTCAGGTTTTTTTTCCCCGCCTTTTACTCTGAATTTTAATCTTTATTTTATCTGAACTCCTAGATTTTGGTTTGTTGTTTTCACGGGATTGTAAAGCTTACATGAAATCATGAATATAAAAATTTTTCTTATAGTCTTGTAGAGATATGTTTGTAAGTGTTACTAACAGGATAACCTGATAAGCAGCAGTTTTCTAAAGAATTGTTTTTCTTTTTTTTAAGTTGTAGATGGACAAATACCTTTGTTTTATTTATCTATCTATCTCATGTGGTGCTGAGGTTCGAACCCAGTGTCTCACACATGTGCCACAAGTGCTCTGCCACTGAGCCACAACCCCAAACACCCCCAAAAGAATTGTTTCTTGTCAGGTGGTGTGTCCTCTTACAAGTCATGTTCTCAGTCATTCGCAGTCTCTTTTGTCCTCACATTTATCTAGCATTTATTCATAGAAACTTGCTCTCTCAGGAGTCCTGTTTAAGCTGTGCAGTTCCTATCTGTTCTTTGGGTGTCAATCATATATACTCACTTCAATTTACTGTACAGATTTCATAGACTTTATTTTTGTCATATTTTGCCTCAACCTGCTATTATTGCAGTCTTCCATTCTAGTTCTTGGAGAAACCTTTCATCAGTTGAGCATTTCATTGTTCTTCTCGCTCCTGCTCTTTCTTTAAATTTTTTTTTTTTTAATTTTTTGGTTGTAGATGGACATAATACCTTTATTTTTTATTTTTACGTGGTTCCGGGGATCGAACCCAATGCCTCACGCATGCTAGGCAAACGCCGTACCACTGAGCCACCACCCCGGCCCAGCTCCTGCTCTTTCATTGGGCTTCTCCCTTTGCATGTGGTCTTCTTGCCTGTCCGTCTCAGTTATGCTCTTTCAACTTTTTTTTTTTTCCATCCTGTACTTTTGCTTCCCTGAACCCCCATAATAGGTCTTACTGAATTTCTTTCTTTCTTGTTTGGGATTTATGCAAACTGAATTTTTGAGGGAGCCTTATTTTGTCTAGTTTATTCTCCCTCTTGTAAAGATGTCATTCTACACAACACAGTGACAACATCCTCTTGAATGTCTAATAGATCTCAAATGAAACATCAAAAACTGAATTCTAGACCTTCTCTCAGGTATCTGGTCTTCCCATTTCAGTAGGTGACAACTTCATTCTGCTTGCTTAGAATACTCTCAGGATCATCCTTGACTACTTTTTTTGTTTTATATCCACATGTATTTTGTTAGAAAATGCTTTTGGGCTCAATCTTACTAATATATCCTGGGATAACAGGATAAGGATGTCAGGTCTTTCTTTCCATAGAAAATAAGAATAAAACTTTAAAGTTATTAGCAACATCATTTAAAGGCATTGGAAAATAACCATCTAGGAACAACTGGGGGAGGGTTGGCTAATAGCTTGGTGCTATTTGTATGCTGCCTTGTGTAGGCAGCAAAACCCCACAGTTTTTCTGTCAGTTTTTCCTGAGGGAGGTGTCCTTTGATACATGGGAATGTGTAAATTTGGGGTGGTCCTGTTTGCCTTTATTTGCTCTTGTCTTTGCTAAGCCAATTGGAGGTGAGCAGCACCTCAGAGATTTGTGGGGTAATATCAGGTGTTCTAATAGACATGTAATTAGCATCCCAGAAGATGAGGAGAGAAAGAAAAAATAGAAACAAATTTTGAAAAAAAAAATTGCTGAAAATGGTTGAAAACTTCCTATATTTGGTGAAAAATATTAACAGATCCAAGAATTTCAACAACTTCTCAGTAAAATACACAAAGATGCCCAGACACATTGCAGTGAAACTGCTCAGAGCCAAAGATAAAGAAAAAAGCTCAAAGGAAGCAAGCAAATTACATACAAGGGTGCAACAATCCAGTTCATGACAGTTTTTACAACAGTGAACACCAAAAGACATGGGAGCAACATCTAAAGTCATGGAGAAGGAAACCTGTCAACCAAGAATTTTATATTAAGGGAAACTTGAGTAAAGACAAAATAAAAACATTTCTAGATAAACCCAAACCAAGGGAGTGTGTTGATAGTAGACCTGTGCTTTAAGGCATGCAAAAGAAATTCCTTTATACTTCAAAAATAATTTGGACCCAGGGGAAGGAATAAAGAGCACTTGGTCAGTATGTGGGTAAATATATGTCCTTAAGTTTTCCTTCTCTTTTTTTGGAAATTGTTGGTTTTTTTGGTGGGCCTTTGTTTTTTTTTTGGTGGGCCTTGCACATACTAAACAAATGCTTGACTACTGAGCTACTTCTATTGGCCCTTGTTATTTTTTACTTTTGAGATGAGTTGACTGAGCTAGCCTTAAATTTGCAGTCCTCCTTCCTTAGCCTCCTAAGTAGCTGGGATTACAGGCATGTGCCACTGTGTCCAGCTTCCCTCTCTTTTAATTTGTTTAAATAATGTGATTATTTAGAAAAATGTAATACCCTACTGTGGGCTCTATAACATATATAAATGAACTATTTATAAGTAGTATTTTTACATGTAATATAAAGAAGAGAGCTGGGAACTGGAACTATTCTGGTGTGAAGTTGTAAATATTTTTGTGGATATAAGTCATTATTAATTTGAAGTAGATTTTGATCAGTTAAATGTGAACATTTTAGATAAATAACAACCACTAAATAGTGTGAAGTTTAAGAAAACTAAAATGACAAGCTAAAAATATTTGCTGAACATAAAAGGCAGTAAAGGATGAACAAAGGAACAGTAGAGATAGGTCAAATAGAAAGTAGAGAGTAAAATAACTAAAAAAATCATTAAGAAATATTATTAGGGCTGGAGTTATAGCTCAGTTGATACAGCACTTGCCTAGCATGTGTTAGGCACTGGGTTTAATTCTCAGCACCACAAATAAATACAATAAAGGTCCATCAACAACTAACATACATATATATATATACACACACACACACACACACATACACATATACATATACACATACATACACACAAAAAAATTTATATATACACAAAAAATTTTTAAAAATGAGGGTATTGTCCATCTACTGTAAAAATATTAAAAAAAAGAAATATTATGAGAAAAATAAGGACTTTTTATAATATGATGTTGCAGTAAGTTATAAGTATGTATGCTCCTGATATCAGAGCTCTAAAATAGAAACATCCATAGTTAAAAGGAGAAATAGACACATCTATGATTTTAAAATTTTTAAGTATTTTTTTTTTTTTTTTTTTTGTTCTGAGGATTGAATCCAGGAATGCTTTACCTTGAGCTACACCCCTAGTCTTTTTTCTAACTGAATTGCTGAGGGGCCCATGAAGTTGCTGAGGCTGACCTTGAACTTGGCATTCTCCTGCCTCAGTCTCTGAAGTTACTAGGATTATAGTCATGCACCTCCATGCCCAGCTCAAATCTATGATTTAGTTTGGCATTAAATACTCCTAATAATAATAAGGAGATAGAAAATTAGTAAGGATATTTAGAAGCCTTCTAAAACACTGTCAACCACCTCAACTTAATTGACAAATAGAATTACATTATTACATTAATTGACAAATATAATTACATTATAAATAATTATTATATTCTATGAAAATAGAATTATTTTCATATTTATAAATATGAAATACTAGGATAAACAATACTTAATAAACTTGGAAATCTTAAAATTCTAGAGCATGTTCTTGGACACAGCAGAACTAAATTGGAAATCAGTCACAGAAATCTAGGAAATCCCCCAAATACTTAGAAATTGAGCAACACAAAAATAATCTGTATTGAAGAAGGAATTGCAAAGGAAATTGGAGAATACTTTAAAGTAGATGCAAATGAAACTGCTGCATGTCTCAGTTTATGAGATGCATTTAAAACATTCCTTAGAGGGAAATTTATAGCATTAAGTTCTTAAATTAGGAAGTAAGAAATCGGTGATCTAAGCTTCTACCTTAAGAAGGTAGCAAAGAACAGCAAATTGAATCCAAAGTAAATGGAAGGAAATGATAAAGATCAAATGCAAATCAATGAAATTGGAAGTAGAGAACAGGAAACAACATTAAAATAACAAACAATTTCTTTGAAAAATATAAAGAAAATTGATAGATTTTTATCCAGACTTATCAAGGGAAAAATAGATAACAATAACAAGTATCAAAGAGGAAATATCTCTGCATGTCTCATAGACCTTAAAAAGAAAATAAGGGAATATAGTGAACAAATTTAGGCCACCAAATTTGATAATTTTGATTAAATGAAGAAATTCCTGTGAGGAAGAAATGGAACAGAATTGAGAAGAAATAGAAAAATTGAATAGTTGTATACTTAGAAATTCAATTACTGCCTGCAAATCCTTCTACAAAGAAGAGTTTAGGCCCAGATGATTTTGCTGATAAATTTTATTAAAAATTTTATCAAACATTTAATGAAGGATATTACCTGTTCTACAAAACACTTTTCACCTAGCAGAGGAAGAAATACCACTTTCCAGCTCATTTTATGAGGCCATTGTTGCCCAGATACTAGTCAAAGACATTCATGGAAAGAAAACTACAGATCAGTATTTCAACAGATGCAAAAATCCATAATAAACAAGAGTTTAAGTCTAGCTATATATTGAGGATGATATACTATAACCATGAGGTTCATTTCAGGAATACAAACTTGGTCTAACTGAAAACAGTCGGTTAATGAAAGCTGTATCCCAAATGCAATCCCTGCTTTCCTCTCCACCACCACTGCCCTGCTCAAATCTATCACCAGGCTTGATTGAGTTAGTTCAGTACCCTCCCAATAGAGCTTCCTGCTTCATTATTTACTCTGTTCTGTATGCAGCATCCAGATTTACTTTAAAAACTTAAGTAACATGTTACTTCTAGGCTTTAAGTCCCACCAAATGAAAGCTAAATACTTCATAAGAACTTATAAGGCCTTACTTGGTCTGGGGCTTTTTTCAGGCATTCTCTGTGAGTTGATTCTCTCCTCACTGTGTTTAAAGTTTGTCTTCTTTTTCAAGCTACAGTTGTCTTTTGGTGTTCTTTCCACTTTTGCTGGGGCCTGATAGAATTGGAAGTGGGTTGCAGTGACTGCTTCAGTGGCTGTTAGTGCAGGTGGACTCTGTTCTGCTCCATATTTTGTCATGTGATTTGTTCTAGCATTTTTTGCCACTTGGCTGAGGTCATACACATCCCTATGGGAAACTGCCCTCATCTTTACAAGGTTTCTTCAGTTCCTTGCATATTCTTGAACTTCACGGAGAGGGAGAGGTGAGGAGAAGAGGGTATGGTGAGGCAGCACCGTTGATCTTTTTCCTGTGATTTATCCGTTTCTTCTCTACTGTGGCTTCTGACCTCTTCAGTCAGAAAAGGATAAGGATTTGGTTTTCTTTCGGCAGATTTGTGTGCTACATGTGAATCTTAAGGGTTTGTCAGCTCTGGGTGTGGGAGTCACTTAGGAATGAGCTGTCAGGCCTCTTGTGCTCCAGACAGTTCTGTTTCTTTACCTGATACTGTATTCCAAGTGGCACTGAATTGTTTCTTTCCTTGTTTTGGTGTCACAGATAAACTTTTCCTCATCTGGTGCATTTCGTTTTTTATTCCCCTTATTTCCTTGGTTATCAGGCAAGGCAAAGTTAGAGGTGCAGTTTCAGTTGGCCTTTTTTTTTTTTTTAAATATTTGTTTATTTTTTAGTTATAGATGGACACAATATCTTTATTTTATTTTTATGTCGTACTGAGGATCCAACCCAGTGCCTCACACATGGTAGGCGAGCGCTCTACCTCTGAGCCACAACCCCAGCCCTCAGTTGGCTTTTTTGTATTTCCTCAGTTGCTTATTTGCTTGTACATCTCACCTAGCAATATAATTGTTAGCTAATAGAGTGTCATGTTGCATATGTAGTTACAATATATATTCACACACGTATATATGCAAATTAAACATTTTATATATGTATTAAAATACATATCCTTGTATTTTAAGTAAAATATATATCTGTTTATGTGTTTTTTTTTTTCCCTCAAGTGAATTGTTGAGCTTCCTGAGGACAGGGAACTGTCATGTATTTTTTATTTCTTATAGTGTGTTTCATGGGGCATGTAGAGCAACTTTTCAGTGCATATTATAAATTAATTAAAACCAAGATGTGTAATTATATGACTCTAAAAGCATTGCTCCAGTTAGAGTAGAAAGTTAAATTTTAAATTAGTTTTATTAATTACTGAGATTCTTTTTTCTTTATCCATAATACAGGTACATCAAGAGAGTGTACACATGATTGAAGTCACAAGTAATTTGATTAATGAAACCCTAGCAAATCACCCTGAGTGGGCAAAGTAAGAATATTGTTTTTGGGGAAAAAAAAGTAGTGATGGATGACCTAATTTCAACATCTGTTGGCATGAAATGATCTTTACCATTACAGCTACATTAGAAGATTAAAAGATAGGGTTTGCCAAAGCTTTGATAAATAATATATTTTTTTTTTTCAGAAGAATGGCATGTAATATGGGAAGAGGAGGGGCAAGTGCTTAAAATTTTAGGACTAATGTATGATAAATGACTTTTTTTTAAGATGGGATCTTGCTTTGTTGCCCAGGCTGGCCTTGAACTCATGATCCTGCTGCCTTAGCTCCCCCAGTAGCTGGAATTATAGGCATGCACCACTGTGCCAGCTCCATACCTTATGTTTGAATTGAGATTTATATATTTACATCATGTTTATAATTTCATCTGCCTGATGTCATTTGTTTGCATAGTGACTGAGGTAGATTGAAGAAATTACCCTCATTTTAGAGATGAAGGACCAGGATTATAGTTTTAACAACTTGGGATAGTAATTCTCCAGTGGCAATCAGTACTTAGAACCAGTGTGTCTATCCAGCTGAAGGGAACCATGCACTATATGTGTGACTCCTCAACTGTCTATGTAATTCTTGAAATAGTTTCATATTTGTAATAATTTGGGGGGGGGGGATAGGCAAACTTGGCCCAGGATCAAATCCATCTGCCTGTTTTTGTGAATTTTTTTTTTTTTTTTAAGCACAGCTCTGCCCATTCATTTACTTATTGCCTCTCACTGATTTGGGACTTTGAGCATTCAGACTTGAGTAGTTGTGGCACAGAGAGCCACATCTGAAGAGCCTAAGGTTTTTATTCTTTAGCCCTGCACAGAGAAAGTTTACTGTTCTCCTACCTCAAGGAGTTCTGTATACTTGCTTAATTTAACTTGTATAAAAAGGGTTTTAGGTCTTTGTGGGGAATGGTAGCAGAGTTATGCTGTTTACCTATTTTATACTTCATTACAAATGGCATGGCCTGCTCTATTACCCTTTTTAGTCACTAATTAAGTCAGGAAATAATCTGATTTTAGGATTATAAATTGAAATTTATGTTGATTTTTCTCCTTTGATTTCTTAATATAAAGCCTGCTTTGGATATTGCTTGAACTTTCTTTAACATCACATTTGAATATTCTTAAAAGAATTCCTTTGAAAATGTATTTCTACTGACTTACCATATTACCTAGAGTATACCCAAGTTACTTGTCCTCAGTACTTCTCGTTAGTTTAAAATTGTGGCATATCTATACAGTGGGGTATTATTCAGCATTAAATACAATACAATGGGGTATTATTCAGCGTTAAATACAATTGAATTAATAGTACACATACCAACATGCAGTATGAGCATGCTGAGTGAAAGACATCAGGCAAAAAAAAGACTATAGTGTATGATTTTATTTATATAAACTTCCAGAGAAAGCAGACTCTGCAATTTGTAGTGACAGAAGGATTACACATTGGGGTAGGGTGGGCTCCAGAGGGGGTATAAGAGGGGTGCAAGGATGTTTATTTTCTTGACTAAGATATAAGAAGCGGGGGCTGGGGTTGTGGTTCAGCGGTAAAGTGCTCGCCTAACACATGTGAGGCCCTGGGTTCGATCCTCAGCACCACATATAAATAAATAAAATAAAGGTCTTGTGTCCAACTACAACTAAAAAATAAATATTAGAAAAAAAGATATAAGAAGTGGAAGTGTTATCAGATTTCATTCTAGAACAGTCTTCCCATCTGCATTGTGGGGTGTAAGATGTAGCCCTTGAGACCAGCTGAGAATCAGAGTAAAACCTGATAAGAGGTTGTAAAGCCCTGGACTGTGGATAGGTCTAGCGGGAGTGGGCAGGAGGGATAGAGTTAAGGAGATTTGTTGGTTGTGAACTAGATATAGGAAGAAGAAATCTAGTGTGACTTGCTTCTGGCTTAAGAAATTAATATATGACGGTGGATTCGGTAAGACAGGAAATGGAAGAGAGGTTTGGTGGGGAAAATTCACTTTTTTTTTTTTTTAAATTTAACCTGTTAAGTTTTAGGTATTTGCAGGAAGGATAGGTGGAGGCATCCAGGAGGCTAGATGGGTATGCAGTGCAGGAGAGAAATCAGGGATAAAGGGAAGGAATTAGCAGTTAGTGTGAGTCCAGAATCGGAGGTCTGGGTTGGCATTAGAGTGTATTAAGAAAGAATGTATGTGATGCACACAGAGGACCCTGGGTATATGCCCTCTGGATTATCTCTGGCCTTTAAGACTGAAAAGAAAACCATAGGTGGCAAAGGAGAATGAGAGAAACAAGAGGAAAGCCAAGGGCAGAGAAAATTTTAAGAAAGCAGTAGTGGATAGCAGATGTCAGATTGCTGCAGAAGGGCTGGGGCACATGCTTAGTGGTAGAGAGAGTCATGCTGAGTATGAATGAGGTTTGGGGTTCAGTCCTCATTATTGCCCCTCCCCCCTAAAAAGGCTTCAGAAAAAGTAAGAGTGAGATTGGATGTAGTGACTACAGGATCAGTGCATTCAGTTAGCAGAGCAGAACCTGATTAGATTACTTTGTGTTAAATTATGGGGAAGAGAGAAAGTGGAGAAAGTAAGTGTGGGCTTATCTTTCTCATGTTTATCTGTGAAAGAGCAGCTGATGGTTGAAGGGAAGTGAAGAGCAAATTTAAAAAAATTTAAGATGGAGGAATCTCATTTATTTGCTGAAAGGAAGAAATTGGTACGGTAGAAGGAATTGAAAATATTAGGAGAGGGGTAATTCTTGGGACATGTCTCTGAGGATGAAGCAGGAGATGAATCCACAGCACAAATTGAGGAAAGCAGATCAGAATAGATATGAATATAAACCCTTGAGTTTAGTGGGTTGGACTGGGGAAAGTGGAAAATTAGGGCAGTATGCCTTTGAGGTAAGAAGTGAGATCATCTGTCCTTTATGCCCTTTATGTTCTTTTAACATAAAATATTTTGAAATGAGAAAGCAAGGAATCAACATGATCCATCTATTAGGGTTTAGGAAAGAGCCACCTGATCCAGGCAAGCCTTCTCCCAGGTGTTGTCCTCCAGGGCTAGTCTCAGTATTATAAAGGATTCCTATTCTTTGGCAGTCATTCTTCTATAAGGCAAATAAACCCAAGTTCTTTCATACTGGTTTTGAATTGTAATAGCGCCATCTCTATTGCTATTTTGAAAGCACAGTAGTCGGAGCAGCCCTAGATCAGGTTGTTGTAGACAGGTGTTTTGTTTATTTGGTTTAACTTTTGAAGTCACATGAAGTTGCAAGACATGTATAGGGAGGTCCCCTATTCTCTTGATTCCACCCCCTCCAGCGTTGTCATTGTCCATAACTATAGGACAGTAACAAAACCAGAAAATTTGCATCGGTGCAACATATTGTCTTTGGACTTTACTGGTTTTACATGCACTGTATGTGTGTGTTTTGCTCAGGAATTCCTCACATCTTAAAAAAATCTTTAGTGGATAATAAATTGAAAATAATTATTTACCCTGTTAATTTTCTGAATTCTTTCTCAGTTTTTCACTTCCTTAGATCGATGAGTCTCGATTTTTCAGTAGGTCCAGGGTTGGCCCCAAGCATTTTTTTTTTCTTTTTTTTTTTTTTTGTGTGCTGGGGATGAACCCAGGGCCTTATGCATGCAAGGCAGGCACTCTACCAACTGAGCTATATCCCCAGCCCACATTTTCATTTTTCTAACAGGTTTTCAAGCAGTTTTGGTGCTGCTGGTTCATGGATCGCACTTTGAGAACTTTGTTCCAGATTTTGACTATCCCAGTGTTCCAGAACTACTTCTGGTGCTGAAATAGGCAAATGACCCAGATTATGTGTGAACAGAGAAACAAGGCAAAGTGGAATGAAGGAGGAAAAGTGGGTCTAAATGCTAAGATCAAAGGGAAATTTTGAGTATAACAATTAGGCCAGTCAGGCCCAGATGTCAACAATCCTTGCTTGTGATGCACATCTGTGTATTAATGACTGATTGGCATTATTGCTTCCTAAAGTAACACATCATGTTTAAAGTGTTTTCGGAATGGTACACTAAAAATATCCTTTTTTTTTTTCATTTTTTATTTTAAATTAGTTGGCTTCCTGAGGCTCAGGTGGTCCAAAGAGCCCTGAATTCTGCAGCTAACAATGTCTATCAGTATGGGCGAGAATGGATAACCCACAAGGTAAGGGAAGAGCCTTTCTGTGGCTTCCTCTTTGCAGGGTCTCTGTTGGTAGTGACTTCTTGCTTTGAGAAAGCATAGAGATTCTGTTTGGAATGATTTCCATTTTTGAAATAAGCTTAAATCTACAGGTTGACAAGCAACATAAAATGAAATTAAAGCTCTAGATAATCACACCATACAGTGCTAGTAGCCTCAACAATCTAAGAGGTTATTCATTTACTTTCTTCTTGAGGTGGATCTGATTGTTATTTTTTTTAGGACAGAATGATCACTAATCTTGGATGGTCAAATATGGTCAAAGGAGGAGAAAAAGGTAATAAGCCATCCTCTTATCTGCCTGTAACAGTGCTTGGCAGTTTCCGATTAGTTTCATTTAATCTTTTCAAGAAAGCTACAGGAGTCTGAATTATTTTGCTTGCTTTGCAGATGAGGAAACATACTCAGCTAGGCTGGGTAGATCCCCGTTGGTCATATAGGAAATCAGCTTCAGGCTAATGACCAGCTCCAAATCCTTGTTCTTTCTGCCATAGTGTGGTAGTGGTGTGTGCTAAACTGGAGAAAGTGCTTTCATATGGCACTTGAGATAAACTTTGAAGGAAGGGCAGATCAAGGAAGAGTGTATTTTAGGAAGGGTAGTTAATGTGAGCAAAGAAGCAGAGACAGGAGTGTTCTTGAGGAGATGACCTTGACTGAAGGGGAAGGAAAGACATAATTGTCACAGTTAGATATTAGCTTCTTCAGTATGGGTTTGGGATATTCTTTTTTTCTCTCCTACTGTTGCCCATGGGAGTAAAGTTTTAATATACTGAAGTAATTAGATTCATATGGTGACAAGTTTTTTTTGCAGTGAGACTAGTGGCTGGAAAATTATATCAGTATATAATTTCTTGTTTGAAAGCAAATCTCCTCCTCCCTCCCCAGAATTAAAGATGGAACAAGTCTGGTTAAAAGTTGAGAGAGCCACAGGTTGTAGTGCACACCTGTAATCCCAGTGGCTTGAGAGGCTGAGACAGGAGGATTATGAGTTGAAAGCCAGCCTCAGCAAGGCTCTAAGTCACTCAGTGAGACCCTGTCTCTAAATAAAATACAAAATAGGGCTGGGGATGTGGCTCAGTGGTTGAGAGTCCCTGATTTCAATCCCTGGTACCCCCCAACCCCACCAAAAAAAAAAAAAAAATTGAGAGAAAGTTATGTCTGTCCCCGATAAGTTAATCACTACATGTTCCTTCTTAAAAAAAAATAAATAATGTATACATGCATATATTATTTATTTATATATGAGATAAGCATCCACAAATTTATCTTTTACTTATCTTAGAACTGTCATAAGAGGAAAATCCAGCCATTGCAGAAGATTTTCAGCTTTCTAGGACATGTTATTTTGCTTAAATCATGGCATTTTATTCTTTATTAATATATCTGGGAGAAATTTTTATTCTAGAATCCTTATCTTTCTGGGCAGAGTATAAAGTAGAGGGAATTTTGGGTAGCCGGAGACATGGACCTTAGATTTTAAAGAAATAGATTTCAAATTACTTAGAGAATAAAACCTTCTAAAATGAAGACGATGGGCATTTGATAACAAAAATTATAAAATATGTGTGATCTTGATTGAAAAGACAGCGGAATAATATCTAAAAACATTGAATGTTCATAAAATGGGATATATTTTAACCATATAAAGGGATGAAGTAATGATGAGTGTTACAGCATGGATTATTTTTGAAAACATTATGTTAAGTGAAAGAAGCAGTCATAAAAGAATGTAAGATTTCGTTTATATGAAATGTCCAGAGAAGGCAAATTTATAGACAGAAAATAGAGTTATGATTTCCAGGAGTGATGGGGCTGGGGAAGAATGAGGGAGTAACTGTTAATGTGAATGGGATTTCTTTTTGGGATGATGAAAATGTTTTGAAATGATATATGGTAATGGTTGCATGTTGTGAATATACTAAGAATCGTTGAATTGGGTACTTACATGAATTATAAGTCCTGTGAGTTATATATCAATAAAATTATTTTTAAAAAACTGCAGATGTAACTTTTTAATGAGCTGAAAGTCTTATCTAACTCAAAATCATATAAGAAGAATTGGGTTGTAAGAGCTAAAGTCCAGAGAGGCCTGAAATAGGGGAAAACATCATTCCCAGAAGAGTTTTTCAGGGTGTGTGTCTGGTCTTCCCGTCCCCAGCTTATGTTGTCAGCCTCATCTCCTGTGTCCCTTCATATTGTTTGGGTCATACGTGGACTTTCCAGTTGGCTTTCTTCACTCAGCATTCTTGCTTGAACTACCCTTTCTGCTTTTTATGTCTTTAATAAAAATCTGGGATAGCAAGAGAATAAATAATGTTTACTCTGTCCCTCCTTCCATGATCAGAATGAAGAAGGTTCCAGCCAGCCATAAACAGGCCCCATTCTGTGCTAGGTGTTGGGTGGAAAGTGATAAATTACAGAGTTTCCACTCTCCCAGGGATTACACTCCAGTGAGTGGAGACCGTCATCAAGCATGCAAACAAATGAAAAAACTCAGGTGCTAATAAGTGCTGCCTTATTGAGTAATGTGGTAGCATGATGCTTTAGCTAGAACTCCAGAGAAGGTCTCTGAGAAGGTGACATTTCCATTAAGACTTAATGATGAGGAGAAGGCAGTCGGCAAAGGATTAGTAGAAGATTGGGTCAAGCTGAGGCAGCAAGGCAAGCCTAGATCAGGACAAAGAAGGTAGGGGTTTTATTTTAGTTATAAATTTAGGCATTATGCAAATTACATAGAAGGGGATGTGACCTGATTTAGCATGTTGGACCTTATTTTGGTTGCTTTATGGAGAAGGGGGCAAGAAAAGGAGAAGACAGAGAGGCCAGATAAAAGGTTATTCTGATAGCAGCTAGGTTTGTGGCTCAGTGGTGGAGCACCCGCCTAGCGCGGGTGAGGCACTGGGTCCGATCCTCAGCACCACATAAAAAAATAAATAAAAATAAAGGCATTGTGTCCACCTACAACTAAAAAAAATAAATTAAATTTAAAAAGAAAGGTTATTCTAATAGACCATGTGAGAGATGTTAACTACTTGGATCAGGGTTGTAGAAATATAAAATGGAAGAATTGGTCAGATTTAGGATTTTCTTTCTTTCTGTTTTTTTGTTTGTGGTAAGAGGAATTTCTCATAGATTGGACACAGAACGTAAGGAAAGGAAGTTTTGGTTGTTTAACTAGAAGAATAGCTCTGATGGAAAAGATGTGGAGGTGATAATAGGGTTTAGGTGACGCGGATGGATCAGTAATTAAATTTGAGGCATAGTTAGTTTGAGTTACCTAATATCTGGATAGGACTGCCGTGAAGGCAGGTGGATATACAGAGTTGGAGTTCAAGGGAATAGATGGCAGCTTAGGAGTCATCAGATGGGGCTTCTGCTGTGTCACTGGGGGTGAATGCGGAGCCCTAAGGCCTGATCTACCCAAATGTCAGGTCCAAGCTTTACTCTGTGGGTATTCAGGCTATAGGAAAACAATTCATTGAGAAGATTTATGCTATATCTTATGACTACAGAGTCTTGGGAAGTAGATGAAGATGAATGTTCTATGTCATGTAATATTAAAATTTTGAAGTTAGAAGACATTTGCTAAGTCAGATCACTTCAAGTGTGTTGAAGAAAGCCTGCATATATTATCTTCCAGACATTTTGATTGAAGTATTCACACATTTATTTCATGCAAAAAGAGTAGATGTTTATACCTTTTAAAGTGGATTCACCAGATACATTTAAAAGATTCCTTTCCAGAGGCCCTGAGATTACTGGAACATGACATATGTGGACCCTGCCCTTGTAGAACTTTGACTCTGCTGGGGAAGTCAGCCATTTAATTCATGTTATGCATGATTGATTTTGGCAAAGGAGAATAAATTATTCTAAAGGAAATAAAATAACAGAATAGATAATCTGGGTAAGTCAGAATATTGTTTCTTTGAATTTTTTTTTCTTTTGAGTTTTGTTCTGATTTTTTAGTTTGTTAGTAAATTGAAATTATTTTTGATTTAGAAAAAGCATTGAAACAAGAAATTATATATAATATCCCTCTTATTGATACAGGCATAATCCACTCAGTTCCTGTGTTAGATGGTTGATGGATAGACTTTGTTTGATTTTGCCAGAAAATTATTCGTTGACTCTATGGTCACTATGAAATTGGAATGAGGAAAATACAAAAGGTGAAAAAAGAAAAAAGAATTATTAGATGGTACCCATGAGATTGGATGAAGTGGCCTCTATTAGTTTGCAAGGGATGACATAACAAAGTGCCACAGACTGGTTGGCGTAAACCATGGAAATTTATTTTCTCACAGTTCTAGAGGCTAAGTGAGATTCAAGTGTGGGCAGGGTTGGTTTTCCTGAGGCCTCTCTCCTTTGGCTTCTAGATGACATCATCTTCCTGTCTCTTCACATCGTCTTCCCCTGTATGTGACTGTGTCCCAATCTTTTCCTGTAAGGATACCAGATATATTGGATTAGGACCTATGCCAATGGCCTCATTTTAACTTCATTACCTCTTGAGAGACTCTCCCAAATACAGTCACATTCTGAAGAATTGGTGGTTAGGACTTCAGCATGTTAATTTTGGTGTGGACAGGGTACAGCTCATAACATGGCCTAAGTAGAGAGGGCAGATAGAAGAGGATCACAGGTAGACTCCTGGAGCACTTGAGGTTTTGGACGTCAGAGAAGGAGCCATTGGACTGAGGCATAGTCCTGAGGTAGAATGAAAGCAACCTGTGCAGCCCAGAAGCCTAGAGAAGAAGGTGTGTCAACAAAGACCTCCTCAGTCTGGCAAATGCTGAGATTTCAAGCGGGATGAGTACAGAGAATTGTCCCCTGACTTTATCATTCCCATTTTAGACATGAGGATGTTTGCCTTCTCAAGTCATTTTCTGATGGCTTTTAATGCTTTCTTGCCTTTCACATATAGAGAGCATGTCATATACTATCAATGATATGTGCCCTTCATTCGTTCTTTGGGAATAGCAATGTTAAGTCCATCAGACTCTGTTCTCTAGCCCAGTCTTCCTTGTGACTTGCACTATGTATTTAAATGAGCAGGACAGCGTTCTGGGTCTATAATATTCTGCTATGGTGGGTATTACCAGGATTTTGGAAAGAGTGTTTTATAATATGTTTGTAAAATTATGCCATTTTGTCCTTTAATGGTTGTGGTATTTAGCTGTTGGGCTGAGAGTGAGACTTATAAAGAGATGCCTGCTTAAAATAGTGCTTTACTTTGTAAAAGGCCACCATGTGTGCACGACCTAGATTTATGCCAACTAACAATTTTAGGGTTTTTCTGGTGAGGGAGAGCTCAGAAACTGATGGGAGAATTGGTAGGAAGTTAGTGTCTGACAGTCATGATATATACAAGACTAAAGTAACTAAAGGAAATTAGATTCTGGGCACTTGTGGATTTTAATCATTTTGAGTAATTTGCTCTAGGAGGTGTTTTTTTTGTTCATAGGTTATATATACTGTAGTTGAAATAACATTAGAGGTTTTATCCTGACTGCTGTTTAGCTTCATTACCCCCCCACCTCCTCTTTTTCTTTTCCTGGTGGTGGGCATTGAATCCAGGGTCTTGTGCATGCTAGGCAAACACTCTCCCACTGGGCTACTCTCCCAGCTCATCAAAACCATTTTCTATCTCTTGGGATTGTTGTAAAGATCATCTGATGTAGGTGAAAATACATTTGTAAATTTAAGCTATATAGAGATAGATGGCTTTTATTATATTCACTAGTTTGTGTCTGGTTTATGAATAAATCAGTTCAATACAGAGGCTTATATTTACATCAGCTATGTCTAATAACTGGCACCAATATCTATGAGACCAACATCAGATGGACTAAAGGTGAATTAATATACAGTGTAAACCAGAATGGAAAAATGATCACCTACTAAATTATCTAAAAGTTTTCAGTTAATCCATAGACTTCTGGGAAATTGTTATATCCATATGATGTTGGAAAGTATTAATTGATACAATCCTTTTAGAAGACTGTTTAGCAATGCATAGTCAGAGCCATTGTTTTCTTTGATTCCTATTCATTTATTTTCTGTTAGTGGTAAGAAAAAAATAGCTATATATAAAGATTTATTTATGACATTAAAAATTGGGAGCCATCTATATGATCTATGAGGATCTATGAGTGGGTAATGAATGTCAAAGATGAAATGTTTATGATGCAAAAGACCACATATATTTCTAAGAATAGTCTGTAAATAAGTAGAAAATTGCAGAGGAAAAGGAAAAATGCAAACAGTTGTATTAAGGGAATGGAATTACAAATCAGGGTGTTTTAAAATTGTCTTTAATATTGCAATATGGTTTTAGTCTGATCAGTCGTAGTTGTCTGAGGCATAGTTGTCTCAATGTACAAACTGAGGGAGGATTTGTGTTTATTGCTAAGGTCCTAAAATTTTACTTAAATTTCTGTGAAAATTCTTAATAATAGAGATATGTATCTCTATGATTATAATATGGCACATTGTATATATTATATATACAGTGATACATTGTATTATGATATGTGTGTGTATATATAAAATATTTATATAAATATATATATGATACATATGCACTGTATAAATATATATATTTATGATACATATGCATACATATATATGATACATATGCACTGGGGTCATAGGGTTAAGATTTTTCTCTGGGTACATGAGCCCAGAGAGGTCAGTAAGCATGGCTTCATTTGTACCATTTTCTTATGTATCTCTTAGAGACCTGGGAACAGAGGAAAGAAAAAAGAAGAAAAACATGAGAAAGGAAAGGGAATTTACTGGGAACATTGAGAAATAGAATATAAGAATATAACACAATGAGGCTAGCCTTAACTAAATAATCTGGAACATTTTAGTTTGGTTTGGACAAATGAAGACCCAGCCTGTATTGAGTTGTTGCCTGAATTATTAAATCAGATTATATCTGTATTTTTTCCTAGCTTCATAAAATTCTAGGAGATAAGATGAATAATACAGCTGTAATTGAGAAGCAAGTACTAGAACTTTGGGACAGACTGTATCATTCTTGGTTTGTAAAGGTAAGTTATCTTAGCAAAGGATTTTCATTATAAACTGAAGTCCTTTTAATGTAATTTATACATTCATTGACTACATAGGATTGTATTCACATTGGAATTTCATTTATTGAAATTCTTAAATAGCAGGATCTTAAGCCTCAGGTCACTAAAAGTCATCTTATGTCAATGGTTTGTCTCTTGGCAGACCTTGTTAACTTGGATTGTCTGTTGTATCATTATTCTGTCCTCTGCTTGTTATAGATGACATCTTGTCCTCCAGACCAGCTCTAAGCAGTGGAAATGTAATGTGAGCCACATGTTTGGGGTTTTTTTGGTGCCAGGCATTATACCCAGGGTCTTGTGAATGTTAAGCATGTGTTCTTCTACTGAGCTGTGTCTCCAGCCCTTGCAAGCTGCATGTGATATTTTATATTCTTTTTTTAATCCTAAGCTTTTGAAATTTAGTGGGCATTTTATACCAAATAGCATATCTATTTTTGGGCTACCTACATTTTAAGCTTTTAGTAACCACATGTGGCTAGTTGTTCCTGTTTTGGACAGTACACTTCTACCTATTTAAGAACTTTTCTCTGAGAAAGTGGAAATAGTACTAAAAGTTTAGAGACCTTTACTTTAAATCAACCTTGTGTACTGTGTATGTTTATGTACTTTTACTTCAGAATTTGTGATGGAAAGTAATGCAGTTTTTCCCCGAGTATAAAAATAATGGATTAGAAAGCAGCGTGTTCTGCTGAGCTGTGCTCCATACCAGGTCCAGTGGCTGTCAGGAGCTGAGCTCTGCATACTGAAGGGCAGAGGCATTGGTTCTTTCCCAGGTTGATGTAAGGAAAGGAGGAGCAGCTATAAATCTCTTAACCTGGGGTGGAAGCGAGGGGAACTGTCTTTAAACTTGAATTTGTGACTTACTGACCTGTTTTGAATGTTATTCTCTTGCCTTTGGATGAGTTGAGGGAATATGGTACTGGTTTTCTTACCTTTCAAAGACTGGGAGTTAAGACTTTTAATGGCATATTAGTTTGAATATCATATATTTCATTCTGATTGCTTAAGAACCAGGTAATTATAAAGGTCATATCTATGTCCTTTGCCAACTCTGGGGCTTCTTAACAGAGTTTCCTGTGCCTCACCCTTTTAGTATAGATCTATAAATAGTATACTGTCTTTCTTTCTTTCTTTTTTTTTAACCTCTTTCACCAGGACCTGAGTCTCTGCATTGTATAATGGATATTAATATCAGTGTTTTATTTGCAAAAACGAGAGAATGGAAGCACATGCAAAATGTTAAGAACTTCACCCTGAATTTTAACCTCACTTTGTTTATTCACATTTTTTTCAAATATAATTATGGTGGCATCCCTACCAGTGTCGTTCCCTTCCTGATAGATGAATTGTATTTTCCCCCTTATCCTTGATTCTTTGTCATAGTCACTTTGCTCCTCCTTTTATCTTGTACAAAAGACATTTTTCCTTCTTCCTTTTTGAGACTAGCTCACTGTGTTGCCCAGTTGATCTCAAGCTCCTGGGTTCAGGCTGTCCTCCTGCCTCATCTTGAATGGCTGGGATATAGGCACATTATTACTGTGCTGGCTTTTGTATAGAAGGTTAATAATGGAGATGAGGAAGGAGGAATAAACAAAGGTAGAAGACCAAGAAAAAGGTGGAGGAACTAAGAAGAAAAAGGTGAAAGTGAGTGGTGTTTTAGAATTCTGTTGTATATATTGAGTGTTTCAAAAATGTATTTAGGAAAGAAGTACTTGAGCCAGGCTTAGACACGGTACCTAAAATGTAAATGGAAAAGTGTTACATTTCATTTCTTTAGATGTCTTACTTGATTTCTTAAATAATATAAAGGTTTTTCACCTTTGAGTATTTCCTGAGGTACACAGTGGACCTAAAGCAGAATGGGACATTTATACTTTTCACTCTAGGTTAAGATGGAAGTTTCATGTTTGAACTGTTTTGTCTCATAGAATGTAACACATTCTGGAAGGCACAAAGGACATAAGATGCATGTAAGTCGTCAGAACAGCTGGCTGGGAGACATTCTGGACTGGCAGGACATCGCCTCCTTTGTTCACGAGAACATTGAGACATTTCTTTCGGTAAGGAATAGTGTTTATAGTTATGGTGGACTTATAGATTAAAAACAGAACTCTAATTCCAGGTTTTCTTTACACAGTATGAAGCCTTCAGTTACTCAGTTTTTAATGCCATGACATTTATAGGCTGGAGAACTCTTTTTTTTTTTAGTTGTAGATAGACACAACAACTTAATTTTGCTCATTTACTTTTTTATGTGGTGCTGAGGATTGAACCCAGTGCCTCATTACATGCGAGGCAAGCCCTTTGCCACTGAGGCACAACCCCAGCCCAAGGCTGGAGAACTCTTCCTGCACTAGAAAGATATCCCAAAGCAGTTTTCTTCAGGTGTTGGTCCCCTGCCTTGCTCTGTTGAAATGCACTTGTAAGATGCTGAATCCTGCAGCATGTGAGTGAAGCTGTGGGCTCCCATGTTCTCAGGATTCCTCGTCACCCAGGCTGACCAGAATGTTCCCAGCTGGACATTAGAGAGAGAGAGATCTGTTTTTCTAGTGGGCGAAGCCCTTGACATATGGAAATATGACTCATTCATTACATTACAGAAACTGAATATGTGAGGACTTAGCTTGTTGTCCCCCCAACTTTTCTGTCATGTACCATCCACTTCTGCAGCCTTATAGCATTGCTGAGTCTTAACGTCTACTCTGCATCATTCTGGAGTAGACTTTGTCGGGTGTCTTGGCATGTGGTTAGTCACAGAGATGAGAATGTTCCTGTGAATAGACTAGTGGATTCCAATAAATTAACAAAAGTTAAATTTTTAAAAATTGAAGCTTAATCTAAGTAATAATATAGCTGAAAAGTCAGTGCTTTAAGATTTTTATTAAAAAGAAGTAATGCCTTGTTCTTTGCTTCCCAGAGACAACCTCCAGAAGCAGCTTTACCTGGGTGTTTACCTCTGAATTTCTAAAATAATGCTTACACTGCCCTTTTTTGTTTTTGCTATTTTAGGTATTATCTTTTGGCTTCCAAATATGGAAGATGAAGGTAAAGATGTGACTTCTTCAAGTCCTTCAATGCCTTCTAATACCTCCCTTGTGATTTTTCTGATTCCTCCTCTTGCTCCCTGTACCTGCAATCACACTCTTCCCTTAGATTGCTGTAACAGTTTACAGTTAAGTCTATAAATCATGTCCTTCAGTTTTTATTTTATAGGGGTTTTTTTGGTCTTTTTTTTTTTTTTTTAAGGGGCTTGTATTGCCCAGACTGGGCTCCAGCTATTCTCCTGCCTTAGTCTTCCTAGTAGCTGGGCTACAGGTATGACATACCTCGATAGGCGCTTATGTTTTTGATAATCCTTTCCCTATGTTTCCTCTAGTCCAGTGATTCTCAAACTTTTGATCTAAAGATTCCAAAGTGCATATTTATCTCTTTATTAAATAACAACATTACATGTTAATATATAGAGTATGCTTTTAGTTTGTGAAAAATACTGTTTTCTAAAATGAAAAAAGAAGTACTGGGAAGAGTGGCTTTCTTTTAAATTTTCAGTCTGTTAAACGTCTGCATTCTCAAGCCTGCTCTGCCTCCAGTCTGTTGGGATTGTTTATTTGGTTGAAGTATAGGAAGATCATCCAGTCTCACACAGGTATCTAGATAGAAAAGAGAGAAATCTTTTAATAGATTTTTATTGTGGCTATTCTTTGATACTATATCAAAACTCAATTAACTTTTAAAAGGTTAGTTGCAGGGTGAAATTTAAAATCGTATCCGTGATCTTTTTGTATTCTTGTGTATTAAAGTCTTTTGGTCCATCTTGGTTGGGAGTGTTTCAGCCTTGTGTGCTTTGGTAGTATACACTGATCATTTGGAATATCAATTCACTGGTATCTGTACATCTTCAAAATATTGATACTTTGTAGTATTAAAAAATTATGTTCTTTAGCTATCAAGGCCTCAACACCTGATAAAAATTTCCAAAATTAACTTTTTTTCTCAAAATCTCAAATTTTATTGTTGACCACAAACACTGGGTGATTTTTTTTTTTTAAGTGACACTTTATTCAGTTGTAAATGAACTTTATTCATTTTGAATTCACAAGGAAATGGTATTCAGTGAGAAGTTCAGCTAGTTCTGTTCCCAGGTCAGTCACACAAGTGCCCTTCCTCTGAGGACTGTTGAACTTCAGTGAGTGAGTGGCAGGAGTGTGTTTTGCTTACTTCCCTTTTCCTCACACAGAATGTTAAAAAAAAAAAAAGACAGGTATTCAAAGATTGATACAAAATTGAATTAATGACTTTTCCTGCTGCATAGAGTATATGCTTAAGTGAAGCTGGTGCCAGCTGTGTGGCAGTGAATACAATGAACTCTAGAACAGTCTTGTGCCCACTGCCTTGATTCCTGCCATGTCCCCAGCAGCTCTGCCCATCATTGATTGTCTTTATACCACCAGTGCAGAGGCCAACGTGAAGTAAAGCATGGGCTTGATTATTATTAAGAAAATAGCTTTGGCTTCACATAACCTCAGAAGGACCTTGGGGGCGTGGGTTGTCCAGGAGCCATATTCAAGTGTCGGATTGCTTAATTTTATAAACATCTTTTGTTTCCCTTTTTAGTACTCCCTCCCACCACCCCCTCCCAAGTGGCTTCAACTTTACTCTTGAAATCTTGATTGAATTTCCTGTTTCTGCTATCATACTTGTAATTTCCAACAGCTCTTTCTTATATACCAAGCCTTCCTTTGTTATTTCTTTGAGAATATTACTAATAAAAGTTGCCCTCTGTTTGTTCTGAGTTTCACCTTTCACCTTTGAGGCTATCCTCAGATATCTGTCTGGTGACCCTTGGCAGTTTGATGCTTTCTAAGAGTGAAACAGCCAGTTTGAAGGTCTTCAGCCAGGTCAGCTTGTAGAAAAGCCCAAGGGTCAGCAGATTCTACTCAGTTTATGGACCTTCCAGGTAACTTTTTCATGCCAGTGCATATCCAAGATAACTTATTGTCTAATAATAAATACATTTGAATGTTTGTTTTCCCCCAAAATTCAGGTGTGTTAACAAGAAGTTATTGAATCCTTTTTTTGTCTTTCTTTGAGCCTGCAATAGTTGAATTTTAAAGGATCTATTACTGACAGATGAAGTGCTGTTACTGAATCAAATTAAGATAGATGATACAAAAGAATTATTTAAATTTTATAAATTTTTATGGAAAGAAAACAAATGGGCAGTTTTTTGAAATTAAAACAATTTAGCCATGAAATCCCTCTCCCCCCAAAAAAGGACACAATTCTTATGTCTAAACACATTTAAATATTGAGTAGTAGTTCAGGAAACAGATTATTTAGTGTTTTTTATATAAAATATTTTATGACAAATATTGTGCTAGGTTCTTTAAAATATTTTCTAAAATTTAATTTTCATAAAACTTCTGTAAATCCAAGATAATTGCTTTCATTTTGATAGGATAGTGGCATTAAAAGTAACAGTAGATATTCAGATTCAGTTCTTCTTTCATTGGTTCCAGAGACCAGACTTGCCATAATACTGCAATGTCTTTCAAACCATATTTCATACTCTAGAAGACTCTGCTTTTCATAGTCTTATTCCTTTATGCTTTTATTTGCTTATTTTGTCTGTTCTCTTTCTGATCTTATAGTCCATAGGCAACTTAGAGCCAGTCTTGTTTGTGGACTCTTCCTAGTGATTTCAGAACACATTGAGGTTCCCCTACATTTTTTCTTATTTTGACCTCTGCATCCCTATAATGTTCTGTTTTAGTCTTTTTCTAAACTGCTTCTTTTGAGTCTTCATGAGTTCCATAGAAGGTGTGCTAAGGACTCTCAGTAAATAGCTGGGAAGTCATATTATTAATCAGAGGTTTTGTGGTGAGCAGTGGACTCAGGGTGCAGGGATGCAGAACAGCTAGAGGACGGTGAGGCCGCCTTGGTCATTTCTTACCCACAGCAGAGACCACTTTTCATGAATATGCTGCTTTATGGCTTAGGTGTCTCCTGGGTTTTTTGTAAGTGTTTCAGAACCAACTACTCTGTTCTTGACATTTTTTGAGTTATGATTGTATCCTTGACTAAATCAATAGTAAACCTGGCTCACGTTTTCTGCTTTTGACCTGAGATATATTTATTTACATAAATCTGTTTCATTTTCAGGTTCAGGGGCTTTGTTACTATTTCTGCCTTTACTAATTTCTTTTATTTAAGACTGGCATATAAACTAGAACTGCTTTTTACCTTAAGATTTACTTAAGTTTCTGGGAATGTCCTTTCTTGTTTTCTCCAGCTTATTCCCTTTTTTTTCAAATAAGAAAAGTTACTTGAATTACTTTAGTACCATTAATATTTTCAACTAATTTCTTAAAATTACCACAGGGTATTTTCCATAAGTGTGACCCAAAAACTATTTAAAATTTTTTTTTGATTAAAAATTCCAGAATGACTGAGCCCCCAAAAGAGGCTTGTCAAAATCACAAAGGCCTTGTTGGTTTGTTTCTTGGAATCAGTGGCATTGTTCATTCATTCTTTATCCCACCAGGTCAAACAGTCAATCATGCATATTTTTGTAGGCATTGTGAAACACTCTAAAGATTTTATATAAGGAGTTTTTGTAAATGAAGCCAGCCTGCTGAAGTTCTCTTATGAAGATTGAGCTGAGATCTGCAAGAAATGCTGAGGGCAACAAAACATGCTTTTATAAATGATATATTTGCAGTAGGAAAGGAATGGATGGGCCTTTCATAGAACAGATGGTCTAACATGAATATATGACAAAAAACAGATCTGCTGTTTTCAGAAAGGGCACCAGAATAACAACCAGGCCTTCTGAGTTTGCCCTGTTAGGACCCCCAGATCATGGCACCCATGGCTTATAAACCAGAATCCAGGGTCCTGCCCCATTTTTTCTGACCCCTAACAGTTAATCCAACAGAACCCACACCCAGGCCCCCAGTGCTTACTCCAAATTGCCCCAACCCTGTTTCTCCTCCTTAGTTCTGTGCCCTTGGGCAAGTTTTTAAAAACCTGAGCTTCAATTTATAAGTCTATAAAACAAAGATGATATCATCTCCATTTCTTCCCTCTTAGCACTGTTGTGAGGTCTGTAGAAATATCTTGAAAACTGTTAATTAATGGAAGGTGTTTTCCTGACTACATATTTTGCTTCCATGTTTTTCATTACGAGGGAGGATAGTCTCCTTGGGAAGAATAGAGCAGACACTACCATAGGTAATTGAAGTTCATGAAAAGCAAGGCATTAAAAGCATGGAGGTGGGCTGTAGACACTGTTCATTTCTTGGCATATTTAACATAATAGCTATCATCTTGATATGTTTTAGTGAATTTGCAGGGAATACATGAACTTAAGTCAGTAAGTCTCAATATAATAATCATGGTCTATCTCAGGAAAGATTCTGCACTTGACCCTAGTGATTTTAATGGTTGTTCCTGTAGTATTTTTTATATTTGTAGTTGAATCTAAGATGGCAAGAATGGAATGAAGCCGATAATACAATAAGTGCTAGAACTTCATGGCCTGTACTTTTGATCCTACAAGATAAATATGTACACAGGATGTATTCTGACATATCCTCCTGTAGACATTTTTATGTGCATTCTATTTTTACATAGTTATAACCATACTATATATAAAATTTTTTGTATTCTGCTTTTAAAATTTAGTGTTATTATAATCATATTTTCCTATTATAATAGAAATATTTCTAATAACTACTTGCTAGTATTTGAAGTGGATTCATCATAATCTTGTAACCATTTTCCTTATCATTGAACATGTAGATGTTTTTGATTCTGCCGCCCTCTTAAGATGCTCATAGTTCTTGTCTAGTTCTTGTCTTTCAATTATGGTAGTTAAGACACTGTATTCAAAGCAAACAGGATGGCTGTAGCAGCTCCTTTCATGAGGATGAGTTCTGACATCCAACTTTCCCTCCTTGACAGATCTTGGAGTCCCTGTGGATAGTTATGAGCCGGAATGTGAGCCTGCTGTTTACCACTGTCACCACGCTCCTGACCATTCTTTTCTACAGTGGCACTGCCCTTCTCAATTTTGTACTCTCTCTGGTATGTGTGTCTAGATAAGTACTTGTCACATTCTCCACTGAAGCATTTTCTTGGTTCTGTTTGCATTTGTGGCTGTCTGTAGTTTCCCAAATGTGATTTTTTAGGAGATACTATCCTTTTTTTTGCAGATAATTTTCCTGACCACACTATTTTATCTGTTAAGTTCCAGTGATGAGTACTACAAACCAGTGAAGTGGGTGATAAGCCTGACACCACTATCTCAGCCAGGTCCATCTTCTAATATTATCGGCCAGTCTGTGGAAGAAGCTATCAGGTAGGGGTAAGATTTATGCTTTTGTTCTCTTCACCAACTGCTTTCCATGAGAAGCCTCTTGTCTGTCTTGAGCTTCCTAGTAATATTCATCACTAAATTAGTGAAAGACTCTGGTAGTCTCAAGATTTTCATCTCATTTTGAGAAGATGCTATAAGTAGTACATATGTTAATAACAAACAAACAAAGCCAGAGTTTGTGATTTCCAAAGATGCCGTGGCCTGCTGTCCATCAGCAGCTCATAGTCTAGTTCTTGTTGTCATGCCACTTGCATGGGAGAACCCCCTTCTTCCACCACTTCACTTCCTCAGAACCTTCTTCTGTTCTCAGGAATTCTAGCTTAGATCTGGGAGGGCAGCAGATGGCCTTCATGTTTCGTTCTGTCTCCCACTGCAGCCAGGCTGTGCCCTCTGCAGGGACAGGTTGGATACTGGAAATGCAGTCTTTAGTTCAAGTCAGAAGCTCTGTGTGCATAGTAGGTTCTGTCTAGAAACTTCCCTCATGCCTCTGAGGTCCTTGTATGGCAGGCTTGCTCTTCGAATGAGGTTCTTTTTCAACTTGTACACTCCATAGCTCTTTCAAAGTCACTGGCTTCTAGACCCCATTTCTTTCTTCTCTTCACCATGCCTGGTAAGGAGATGCTTTTTGCAGTATAGATCTCTCTCAACTCATCCCCCACTCCCTTCCTCTTATTACTTATTAATATGATTATATTTTTTACTCAAGTTAAACCCTAATATCATCCATTAGAACTCTTCTTTATAGTAACTCTTCTTTCTAGTTACTAGTAAGTTATTAGTCAGGTGGTCTTAAGCTTTGTTGAATAGTAAATTTTAGGCATTTCTGTTTTCCATATACATTTTTAAAATAGCAATATCTGGCTGGATGTGGTGGTGCTATTCAGCTATTCCCAGCTATTCATGAGGATTGCAAGTTTTAGGCCAGCCTTGGCAACTTAGTGAGAACCTATCAAAAAAATAAAATAGAAAGGGCTGGGGATGTGGCTCTGTGGTGCTTGCTGCACTTGCCTAGCATTTGTATTTTTGAGGTCCTGGGTCTAATCACCAGTACCATAAACAAAAACAAAAATATCAATGAATCAACCACAAAGTATTGTTTGTAATTAGCCATCACAGAAATCTTGATTTGACCTGATAATCCTGACTCACTAATCTTAGCTTACTTTTCACATGTAACAGGTAGGGAGAATATATCATTTCTGGAAAGTTCCTCAGTTTCTAGGTTTTCTCTTTCAGTCCTGCTAACAAGGCATGGGTAAAATCTTCACCGATACTAGTGAGATTTATATGATGCCCTGGAGTATCTACATGGGGTCATCCATGTAAAGATTCCAGATGTGGGAGTGTGTTATCCAACAGCAGCTGTCAGAGTGATGCTGTCTTTAAGAATGTATTATTAGCTTTAGTATCCCACCTAAGTCTATGTGAGCCTGGGGCATCGTCCTTACCTTTGGGTAAATAATGGAAATTGCAACAGTAGGGTTTTTGTTTGTTGTTTATCTCAGATATTTTTCTAAATCAAAAAAAGCATATGCAAATACTCTACCAAATGGAGTATTTCTTTCTTTCCAAAAGGAAAAGGATGTTGACACAGCTATATCAGAGACTGGCAGCAGTCCTCCTGTCCATATGACTTAGCAAGCCATACAGAGGAACATGTACCTTGCCCATAAAGAGCTTTAAGAAAGATGGTATTTCATTTCCTTAAAGTAACCTTCTTTAGCACTGACTCTTCACAAATTTTTTTTTTTCTGTTTTCAAATCACAATTCTTGAGTTTTCTCTTATTTTCTTAAAGCACATCACTTTCCAGCTGTCCTCTAAAATGTCTGTTATGGAGTCACCCTTTTTTTTTTTTTTTTCCTTATTTTTATCTTTTGGATACCAAATATTGCTGCCTCCTTTGTTTGGAATTTAATTTTTTAAGTCTTGGCTGCTAATAGATCTGTGGTCATGGTAAGTACAGCTGTAATTTGCACCTATATCCAATTGATCAAAAGTGCGTATCCTGTTATTCCATGATACCGTCTTCCAGGAGAAGCTGGTTGGGGTAGAAGATCATGAATTAAATTTGCAGTATTGTTTAGACCATTTATGTAGACACATGCAGCTGGCAGCTGTATTCGGGCCTTTAGCTCAGGGAGACTTTGAGATTAGGAAGAGTGCTGTAATCTTCAGATATATGAAGAAATGTGTTTTTTTACAAATTAGTTTGGCCTTTTCTTGCTGTACACTAATTATGCACTATGCCAGTAGCCCATGAATGGTTCCCAAGTATATTAAGACAAAAACCATTTCATTTTTTATCATACCATTTTTAATACAGAATAAAAATTCAACAGATTTCAGTACCCGACTATTGGTACTCAAAACTGATTGATTTTTGTGAGTCTGATAAATCTGTATAGACTAGAAAAAGTGTTAAGACTTGAGCTGTCTTTCGGACCAAAGCTATATCAAGTTATATAAAGATTGTAATTTAAGATGATTTTTTGCAGTCTGTGTACTTTGGGTTATTTCTTTATTAGGTCAAATTCTGTGTAAGTCTTACAATGGATTCCTCTCAAGAGCCTTTGGGATAACAGTGAGCTATTTCTAAGAACTCTTGTTAGATTTTTTCATTCTGAAGGATTGTGTTCAAGTAGGAATATTTCTTCATTGTGAGAGATTTTTAAGAGGGAAAACATACAAATGATTATGAAAATATTGTTTTTAAAGTGCAGCTTGGTCTGTAAATTTTCAGTGATAACAAGTTTCATAAGCAGCAGTCATTAATCATCATCAGTGTTGTAGTTAAGTGGAAGTCATTAAACTTGTTTTATTTGATCCAAAATAAATGAATGTTAGAAAGTGGAATGAAACTGGAGGCTAACTGCATGACCAGACAGTGAAAGTATCTGTTCCTGAAGCTTTGCCTTCTGATTTATGTGTCTCCTGTATGATCACTGTCCCATTGAATTTTTGAACCTTAATTATTACTGAATCAGTATTCCCCTAAATTGAACACTTTTGTGGTTAGGTTTTCATTTCATGGATTTTTGAGTTAGTGGCATGCATCCTTTATCCCTAGACCATTTTCCTCCCTTTAGCAGCATGTTGTCTCCTGAATGTACACATCACACCCTTCTTCCCCGATGCTCCCATTCTGCTTGCTCTGGTGGAGATATTGCACATTACTAAGTTGCATGTTGTCACGGCCTCAATGCAATTTAGTGTGTGTGATATTTTCACATGAGTGCATGCACACGGGTATGGCTCTTGCTTGCTGGTATTACAACTTTGAATGCTGGTGGGTGGAAGTCCTACTGGTGAATTAGATGGGAGAATGTGTGTACTGTAAGACTTTGAGTTGGAAAGTGAACATACTTCCACTTTGACACCCCAATTTTGGAGAATTTTTTAAATCAGCATTTCTGTTTTTTACTTTGAGCAAATTAAATAAGCATTGGAAAGAAACTTTCATGCATTTAAAGGTATGAATAGCATTTGTTTAAATTGTATAAGGAAGAGTTTAAAGCTTTAAAAAAGTATTTTCATTTATTTGAGATCTCCTAACATTGAATTAAAGAGGGAGAATTGATTCTGCATATATGAGAAATTTAAATGAGCTGGAGTTCTTAAAAAATAATCAAGACAATAAATATCTGCCTTTTAACCTACTTGACTAAAGATTGGGTCTGAAATACCTGAACCTTTATCTTTTTTTTAGTTTCCAATGAAAGTCACCTAAAAATCTTTGTCTTGTGTGTAATTTCTCACTGTGATGGTTTAAAAATTGCTACATTTATTTTAATGGGCTTGTAATAGAACTAGTTTTGAGATATGAATGTTTACAATTTGTCTTGGTAATTGAAACAACCTGTTGTTATATTTTTAGCATTAGAGTAAGCTTCCATGATCTACAGGCACTGATAAGGACACAAAACATGTATTAGTGGTATAAAAATAATTAATATTGCTACTGCCAGCATCTCCAGATGATTTACTGAATGCCAGTGTTGTGTGCTTCTGCCTGTGACAGACTCAGAACTGTTTTTGTGGGAATGGAAGCTTTCTGTACAAATGGCTCTTTCCTGTACCCCTCAGCCAGTTTTCTGGGCCTGAGTGCACATCAAGACCATTCCACTTACACTGAGAATCCATTGTCAACCAGGTTTCAGTGCTTTGTACTGTGGAGCTGAGTCTCTGGGCCAAATGAGCCACGAATGGGAAAGAGGCATGTAATTTCTCAGGAGAGGTTAGGTGTACAGACAAACCCTGGAGATAATGCAGGTTTAGTTTTAGATCATTGCAATAAAGTGAGTTATATGAATTTTTTTTGGTTTTCCAATGCACATAAAAATTATGTGTACCCAATACTATAGCCTATTAAGTGGGTAATAGCATTCTATCTGAAAAAACTTTTGTAACTTAATTTAAAAATCTTATTGCTGAAAAAGGCTAATAATTATCTGAGCTGTTGGAAAAATGGTTTCATAGACTTACTCAACATAGTTGACACAAATGTTCAATTTGTTAAAAAAAAAATTGCTTTACAATATCTGAAGTACAATGAAGCAAAGTATAATAAAGGGAGCAGGAGGGTACTTTTCCCAATTGGAGTTTTATATGCAGTGTCTCTGAGAGCTCACTGTTTTCCTTTGATAGCTCACCTTCTGCTTGAGGCACACTGTTGCAGTGCTGGGAGAATACTGGTAAGGCTAATACTGATAGCTGTTGGTTGTCCTGGGAAATGAGAATCTAGTAGTAGTCTGTCTGCTTGAGGGTGGGACCAGTGTACAGAAATATTGTAGAGTAGACAGAATGTGATTTTTGGACTCTTCGCTTCCTTGCTGATTCTTCCTTAGACATGTGCTTCTTACGTGGCCACAATGTATGGCCCTGTGTACTTCCAAATGCACAGAGGTTCTTGACTGGTTGTAATTTCTCCCAACCCCAGGACTTGCTTCAGAATCTCATTTCATGAAAAGCAGGTTTTCTGAT